ACTGTTCCTGCTATAGTAGTATCTAGTTTACTTGATTGTGATCCTTTATTTGTCACCTTTTCTTTGTTCACCTTCGTAAGAGAGGTCATCAAGAGGTTTCAGAGTTCTTAATAAAATTTTAGCAAATTCTTCCAAAGGGGAATGAAGTATAGCTTCATAAATGTGGCTGAGATGTGTCCGTAGGACACCATTTACATTCAAAAGTGTGAGGATATCTAATGAAATATGCATGTGAATTCTTAAACAGTTACAGCAGAATGACCTGTGCATGGGCAGCTTTTCTGTGTCTGTTAGTTCACATAAGGAATTCTGCTGTAAGAATTTGAGTAGAAATTAAAAGGGTTTTAGAAAGGATTTCTGTTTTTCCCTTTTACCACTGTGTTAAAACATCTTAAAACTTCGAAGACAGTCTCACTTGCAGTAGTGTGCCTTGATCCAGTAATTATAGCCTGGAGTACTACACAGCCTTGGCAGCTGTGGCTGTTGTGGTGTGAATGATCTGGCTTATCTTCTTGGGCACAGGGGCATGGTAGCTAGAAAATTGTCTTCCTAATCTAGATATGTATCTTTGTAATTTAGATGCAGATAGGTAACTTCTTATTGTTATCCTGTTTTTGCTTTTGTTCTCCAAATAGTACTACATTTACCCCAGCTGACAAGTTGAAGGTGATCCAGCAGACTTTTGAAGAGATCTCTCAGAATGTACTTGAGACTCTTCAGGAAGATTTTCTATGGTCCATGGATGACTTATTTCCTGTTTTTCTCTATGTGGTGCTACGGGCCAGGTAGGCACCAAGAGTGGCATCAGCCATAAGCTGAGCATAGGCAGTGTGAGTATTCTCATCCATATTAAACACTCCTGCTTCTTGTTATAGGACTGATTGCTAGCATTTTGTAAGTTAGTGTATTTTCCATTTTGGCCGTTTGCTTTGGCCTGAAAAGATTTTGAAGAGTTAACTGTGAAATGGCGTGACTTCAGAATGAGGTTAGGGAAAAGCATGTTTTTTGCACAGCACTATGTACAAAAAGTAAAAATGTTATAATGATATCTTTCACTTATTTTCCTTCCCTCTCCCCTATGTGACAGGATAAGGAATTTGGGGTCTGAGGTGCACTTAATTGAAGACCTAATGGATCCTTATCTGCAGCACGGGGAGCAAGGCATCATGTTCACTACCTTGAAGGTATGAAAATTATTTAGGGTTGTTAAAAGCTTTATTTGAAAATTAATCTGCTTTGAGCAATGATGATCAGCTTATGACAACTGTATGAACATTAGGTTGTAACTTCTTTGACATTTTTTTTAATTTTTTAGTTAGGATGAGCAAGGAAACTTAATTTAAAGCTGAGGATAATCTAACAATTGCAGGTACTGCTAATAAAATGGTGCAATGTGCAAATGTACTTTATTCAAATGTGATATTGGTTGCTGTTGACTGTTCTGAATGCTCACCTGGAGCTTGTTCCCCTTCAACTTAACAAACCTTATTCCCTTTATAAAAATTGAAACGAAATGCTGCTTTGGAGATTAGTCATTCCAATAATGTTTAAATCTAACATTCTATCAAGATGGTTCAAGAACTTAATTTTAGGAAAAAAATAAAATTACTGTGTTACTCTCCACATTGTATTCATATTATTCTCTTTTTAAGTATGAAAAAGGAAGAGAATCTGTTTTGATTAATATCCTATTGTACACTAGGACCTCCATAATGGAAATAGGTTAGTTTGGTACCTCAGAATTGTTCAAACAAGTGGGTCTACTGACAATTCAGTCGTGTGGAGCTTTTTTGTGGGCTTGTTTTGGAGGGAAGCTGTTAATCTGAAATTTAAATAAAAATTTTAAACTGAGGTGCTAAGTGAATGTGATTGTATTTTCTGTCTGTGCAAACTGGAAATAGTTGGGTGCAGAGGTTTTTCCATACCTGTTGTTTTTATAGTGCTGCAAAAAGGGAAGGTCTGAGTTGGTTAAAATTTATCAGAGAATCTATGTAGTAGAAGCAGAATCTTATTTTCCATTAATGCAAGTGTTGCCTGAGATATTTCAGTTAAGTTGCTGGTCATGGCTGACTCAATACATATTCAAACAAGCATTAAGGAGTGAATCGCTATCAGGAGCAGGTCAGAATATTTATCCATGTGCTAGAAACCTATGCTTTTCGGTCTGAGTGCTTTTGAAACACTTGATCCCTGCATCGTTGTCCTGTAAGAAAATACTTTCTTTTTTGGGCCCTTCTGTCAAAGGGCAAAGACAGACTTGTGAGCAAAAAAAATGTCCATCTTGGCAAAGCTGGGAGCTGTGAAAGTATTTAGAGTCCCAAAGCATGCTATCTTGCTTCATTTGGAGTTGGACATAATTTGCAACTTAAATCTCCTGTTGTTCTTTCTGTTGGTTTACATACCAAAAGATTTTAATGTGTTGAGTGTCACTGTATCATCACCGCTTGTAGAAAGCCCAGTCCTCTGTTTTCTTGGATAGAAAAGTAAAAAATCAGCCTTTTTGTGTATGATGCTTTATCAGCTTGCTGAGAACTGGTATCTATGCTAAACTGAACTTTGTTTTAATTCAGGCATGTTACTACCAGATTCAACATGAAAAGCTTACCTAGACCATCATTTACGACCTGGCTCTGTGGGATAAGCTACTCAGTGGAACTTCACTGGTACCTACTTTCTTCCCTGAAATGGCACTTAGGAACTACTCTTACAGTCCTGTTGTTACAGATGAAAATACTCAGTTGTTTCTTCTGAACTTTCAGTTTTAAGATTGGAAAACTGCAGCCAGAGACTACCTAGGAAGTGGTGATGAAGCCAGAGACTTGGTTTGTTGAGTATTGCCAAGAAGAAATAATTTCCTATTCTAACAGAAAGATTATTTACTCCTTTTTAATTAACAATGCTGCAAAAAGGCATGGCATCTACATAGAGTACATGTGAAAAGTCTCGACTGCATGGCTTCTAAAGCAGTGGGTTTGTTTTTATTATTCCTGGTTTGACAACAGAGACATTTAAAGAGAATAAATTGCACCACAGAACCATTCAGTCTTCCCGAATTAAGCTATAATGTTTGTTCATTTAAAAAATAGAAATATGTTAGTATTTATAATGGGTAACCTATGGTGTGTTTGGCTGTAAAGGTGTCGAGGCATCTGTGTTGAACAGCATTGCTGAATGCAGTATTAATGTGCTGTTGTGGAAATATCACACTGTTATGGACTTCCTTGTTTACTAGAATTATACATATACAGGTATTCACCATTCTTTTTGGTTTTGAAATAAATAAAAGGCACTGACCACTTCAGATTTTGGCACTGAATTAAATACTTGAGATTGGTAGTGTTCAGTTTCATCACCCTGAGGTCAGAGGACAAATGCTTTCTCTGGAAGCCGATGTGATAGGAGAATGGGATTGTGCTCTTGAACAAGCTGACAGTGGGTTAGGTGTGAGACTTCTGCCGGGTAACTTATGTGTCAGAGTGAAAAAAGCTAATCTTGTTGCATTTTTGAAGATGTAGAGAACAAGTAATTTCCTTGGGGGATTTGTGTGTGTGTGTGTGTGCTTCTGTGGTTTATGGTTAACTTTATTTATAACCAACAACACTAGTGGATAACTTGGGTATTGTAGGTGCTGTTCTTTACCATGGCTCATTCAAAAAAGGAGGAGGGAGGAAGAGATTAAAAGAATGTTATGATGGTTTAAGTTATGTTAAACTACCATAGACAATGCTAATCATATTTTTGAAACAATAATCATGGCTTGTGTATGGCACCTAAATGGAAAGAATGTCATAATACTGTTTTGAACAGTGACTGTAACGTAGCAATTTTAATAATAAAGTAACAATAATTGGTCTTTCTGAAATTATTTTTAGTTTTATCAGAGAAGGGGAAAGAGTAATTCTGGTGAGATGATGTTTAAAAGTATGGTTATATTTGTTATACTTGCAAAAGACTACAATGAGAATATGGAGTTAAAAGACTTCATCTTTGCAAACAATTTTTTTGTTAGCTTAATCTATTTTTAAATTATAATGAATGATTTGCTGAGAGATAAGCAATAATACAAATAAAAGGAAAGCTATAAAAATAAGTTAATTTGAGAAGGGAGGTGGGGAGAGATACACACCAAAGGGTGGAGAGTATAATGAAGTATACGGCAGGAATTTGAACGCTTGCTCTTTTGTGCCTGATTCAGTATTTCCACGCAATCATCTAGAACTCCATGTACCAAAAATATTTAACTGAAACCTGTAGGAGCAGAACTGCTCTTTGAAAAGGAGCTATGCTGAACAGCTGAGTAAATAAAAGGCAATAATTTTTCTTCTGCAAAGATCTGAAATTCATGATTTATTTCACCTTTTGTAGGAGTATAATCATTAAGACAGGCTTGGTAGTGTTTTTTTTTCCTCTCTAACTCTTCATTGTTAGTGTTTGTCTTCAGATGTTTCAGAAGAAAGGAAGGATTTTAATCTTCAGTTTTGACCTGTGAAAAACTTTGCTTCATATGACCATACTCCTGCACTGATTCAGTGCCTTAAACTGAGAATGTAACTGGAGAGGGGAAGTTTTTTCCATCATCTATCTGACTTTCAAGAAGGAGGTATACTTACAAGTACTTAGCAACTTCAAATGTTTAACTTCATTCGCTGTGAGTGAAGCAAAGTTGAGAACTAAAAAACTGAAGAATACATCTGCCTTTACATATATATACACATATATATAAAATATCTATGTAATACATAGATATATATACACACACACAACCTCTTATAAAAAGTAGTGGTATCACACATGAATTTAGCTCCCTGGTTAATGGAAGCAGACAGCCTGGGCTGGATTATTTTTGGTCCTTCTGATATATAGCTCAGTTACCAGCTGAAGAGAATCCTAGGATTAAATGTGCTTCTGACACACATTCCACTTTACAGCCTGTGTGGGCTGTGATGCATTAGGAAATCAGTACAGACCAGCTTTGATTTGTGCACTTTTGTAGCTAACAAAGAAATGAGTTAACCTGTAGGATTTCTCCAGCTGTGTTGTTTAATGGTAATTACTTTTATTTCCCATCTTTTTTTTTTCTTTGTTTTCTGAAATTGAAAGCTGGATATTTCTTACGCTGCAGCAGAAATCCTGTAACCAGCAACAGAAGATAAATGCTACAGTAGTACAGATTCTCATTGTAATTGCAGGCACGATTGCTGAAGACAGAACCTAAGAGAGAGTGTCCTATTGACTGAGAAAGTTGCTGAGAATAAGAAACTACTTAAGTGAGAGACAGAGTAGGATTTTTATGCAAGAAAAGGGTTAAGGGGATTTGTTCTCTTCTCCCTGGTAATGACTAGTTCTAAGGTTAGGTTTCTGCGGATTAGAAAGGAGAGGATGTCCATAGATTAGCTAGGGCAGTGAGGTTACTCGCCCTACTAACATCCCGCAAATACTCTTTCCCTCCGGAAATTCTGCATGGGCTGAACATGGTGTATTCTGTGGTGTTTGCAGGTAAGAAAATACTGACTGTACTGAAACCATTGTACTGCACAGATGCATCTCCCCCATGCATCTGTGAAATTGTTTTCTTATAGCTACAGCAAAGCTAATTAAACCTGTGATATGTTTAATTCCCATTAGCTGAATATTCAAGGTACGTATGAATGGGAAGTAGGAGCTCAAAAGATAATTTTTTTCCTCACTCTTAATCTTCACAAAGTATTCTGACTTGATTGTCAGGTGCTGATGTATTTTGCCAAAAGTAGGTTCACTTCTTAACTGCACTTGTTTTTAGAAGCAGTTTAGGGCAGTACCTGTTCTGGGATGTTGAGAGGTAATGTAGAGGAAAGATATGTGACTGATACAGGACTGTAAAACAAATCCTTTCCTTGAACTACCTAGCCATGTACTTCTAAGTTGATTTAGTATCAAGGTGGTGTTGTGAGGTAGTTGTTTGGTTTTTGGTGGTTTTTTTTTTGTGTGTGTGGTTTTTTTGGTTTGTTTTTTTGTTTTGGTTTTTTTTTGTTTGTTTTTTTTGTTTGTTTGTTTGTTTTTTGTTTTTGTTTTTGTGTTTTTTTTTTAGTAAGCCCAAGCTGTGGGCACTAAACAGCTGGAAGTAAAGCTGGCTGCCTCACATGACTACAGCACACTGCACCCGAGCATTCTCTGAATGCGCTGCTCTTCTAGGAGGCGATGCTTTGGTGGCTTTTACCCCATCTAAACAAGGTACTCACACCACCACTGGAGCTGTAAGCTTTTGCTTTAGAGGGAGGCAGAATGAATCATCACAGAATATATCTGATCACAAAGAGTAATAGCATAAAATGTTCCATCAGCAACTTTACGTATGCAGGTGCGATTATGTAAATCTCACCGAATGCCTTACATGACTGTGAATGTTATTTTGTCTTTTTTGAACCTGTACCACCTCAGACTTGCAAGAAGTGGTTCTCAAGTAAAGATAGGGATATATGGTTTCAAAGGATAGGTCTCTACGTTTGCTTAAAATGTGTTGGTTTATTCCACCAATATTTAGGGTTGCTTTTTTAGTTAAAATGCTTTCAAGTCTCAAAGTCTACAAAAGCAAGATATTTTTTTACACTGACTAGAAAGAGAAGCTGACAGACTTCAGTGATGAGAATAGCTTAATGAGGTTTGTTCAATGCAGAACAAAAAAAGTCCTGAATAGGGCATGTCACTTGAGATGCTGAATGTCTCTTATTACCACTTTTTGCCTGCTCGTTTTGCTGATTTATAGTGGCTTATTTGCAAAAAAAGTTTTCTCAGTGTTACCTGCTCTCAAGCTAACTTGCAGTGTTCAATATGCCAAATCATTAATTTTGACAAATTTAAAGATATGAGTAGTTTTCCATGTTAAAAGTGCTCAATAACTTTGTCAAGCACATTGACCAAAAAGCTTATAAGAGCTGGGGGGTTGATGTTCTGATTATCAGGTGCTCTGGTGGTGTCCCCTTTAGAGGCCTGAGAGCATCCAAAATTGCCTATTCAAAGACAATTCTGAAAACTGTATTAAAAGCAGGGCTTGGCTTCCCTTGCAACTCTAGACGCGTATCAATAGTCTGCAGACTGTCTGTCTGACAGATAGGGTCAAGGAATTTCATATTCTGATGCTAAAGGAAGTGAGCCCTGTAGCCCAGATTTGGGATAGATGCTGTTTGTAGGCAGGAGGTGACAGGCTCCCTTTGACTCTAAGTTCTGGCACACCCAGCATGGATCTCCAGTTCTGTCTCTAATAACAGGCAAAGAGAAGTTTCTTCTTCTAATGAGCATCTGTAATTGCGTGCAATGCATGCAAATAGGAAAGACCTTCCACTGGCTGGGAGATCAGTCAGGTAAGCCTTTTAGTAAGAACTTCCATCTAATTTAGATCCCTGGGATGAGGAGACTTGGAGCTGTGGCCTTACAGTCTGCATAGATGTAAGTCGTAGGAAATGAAGGCACAGTAGTGCTTACAAGTATGTTTGAACTCTGAGCTTTCCCCTTAAGCAAGCAATTTAGTAGGTCTTTTTCTCAAGAACTGCACAAAAATTAGATATTATTCTTGCTGTCTTCTGGTAGTGACGTTTTCATCATCGATTGCTGCTGACAGCTGCTGAAACCAGGCTTCACAGTTGGAAGCTGCTTTCCTTTTGTTGTGTGAAAATATGAAACAGCTGCTACTTTGTGAATGAGGTGAGCAGTGTTAAGAACTTGACAGATTTTGATGTTTAAATGCTGCTTCTATCAGTGTGAGCATAAACTCTGTAGTTTAAAAAGGCAACAATGGATGGATGGGTTAGTAACTTTGTGTTTATTATTAACCCTAGCAGCTCTCTGATAGCTCTACCTGAGGATTTCACCCAAAAAGGCAATCAATCACCATTCAGTAGCTTTCCCAGTTTTTCTCAGATTTCAGTGTCAAAAACTTATAAACACACTCATGTTAATCCCACATCTGTTCTCTGTGGAGCAGTAATGATACCAGAAGCTACAAGACTCTCTGGGATTCATCTCTCTAGTATTTTAAAGGGATAACAGTATTGTTAGTATTTGAGCAGAATCGGAAGTCTTTCAGCATTTCCAGAAGTGTTGTTCTTTGTCTCTGTTTGCAGGTTGATTCTCAGTGGTGCATTTAAAAATGAAATAAAAATTCAGTAGAAGATTGTAGAATATTATTTTGTTGACAGCAACAGGGTAACTTGCTTGCTTTGGTTGAGTTCTTTTTCATTCTGAGTCACTGTGCTGTGCAAGATCTGTCTTAGCTAAGAAGAAATAAATATGATCCAGCTCCCAAAGGCTAAAAAGGACCTTGGTTAAGGTATTCCTAAAACTACGTTGGAGATGGTTGTAGTTGGTGGGTTTTTTTCCCCTCTTTTCCTTTAAACCTCTCTGTATTGTAATAGAATATAGGCAATGCTAATTGTCAATATGGTGACATGCTGGTTTGGGAGACACCACTAGAAGAAAGCAGGTTTTAAGATTATCGTAATTTCACTACAGTTATCAAGAGAGAATATTCAGTTTTTAATACGCATCTGAGGAGTCTTCTACAAAAAAAATTAGAGAGATTTTGCAAGTCTATTTTGAGGTTAAGGGGTCTTCTAAGCTTTCTTTTAATTAGCTAAACCAAAAAGCTTTTTGATGTCTTTCACCTATTTCCCTATATGTGTTTGCAGGGTCCCACCCTACTTAAAAGGGCGTGTAGACTGATGCTTCAAAGCTAAACAGGACAAAACATTGGGAAAATCCAGATCTAAACTTGAAATAACTGCAGTTTTATTCTGGACAGAACTGGACTTTGAATGGGAAGTTACCGTGAGTACAATTTGTTGACAGCCTTCTGTGTGGTAGAGTAGCTTTATGGATAAAAAGCTGTATATGCTTGGGGTGAACCAACTGCTATAAAAATTGTACAGCTGGTAACAGATGCATGGTAATAAGTTGCTTGCAGTTGACAACCAGACTATATTTTTAGATGTGAGTTAGCCAAACAGTTCAGCTAGGAGCTAGGGTTAGGGTAGTTGTCCCAGAAAGCTCAGCTATATTATAACAGGGATTTTATTCATACATTCTTTTTTGAGGTGGGAAAAGTTGGGTTGTTTTGGGGGCTTTTTTGAGGGATATATGTGATGAGATTTTTAGATATGGACTTTCAGTATGTGAAATATAACATACAGATCAGGAGTTGGTTCACTTATAGTACCCCTGGAATGTTTGGACGTGCTCTTTTCTTTTGTCTTCAACCTTTACCGCAAAATTGGAATGAGGATTTTGAATTGGGAGTATGCTGTTGGATGTCTGTGTAGGCTGTATAAAGTAAACAGCCATTGTATGTGGGAACCAACAGACATCATCAGGGTCTGTCTTCAGTTCTTGAAAAATCTGAAGAAAACATAGAAAAGCTAGAGAAGCTTCAGCATTAGTTATAATGAGATGAGCTGGGGCTTCTGCAATGTAGCTTTATGGGATAAACTGTCAGAAGAAGTTTCCTTTTAGGACATAACTTGTAGATTGAGTACCATCTCTTTGTAAAGGCTTCTGCAACAGAATCTGGCGCTATAGACTCTTAGTTTCCCAAAAAGGTAGGGGGAACAGAGATCAGCCAAGCTGAGGGTTACCTGTGTTTTCATCTTGCTGTTATTCAGTGAAAACCAGGAGCCCCACTGTCCTGAATGCCCTTTGCAACATCGGGATCCTTCTTTCCATGTCTATACCATCCCATCCCACAGTAAAGACTTCTGTCCTACTGCTAATGTCTTCAGTAATTAAGATACAGATATTCATGACTAGATGTATATGGCCTGCTTTGTTAAATCCGTTGTTAAGCAGATCAGCTAAGCTTAACAAAGGGAAGGCAAACTCTTAAAGAACTCACACTATTGAAATAACTGGGTTTTGAGCTGCAATTATTTGTTATTGGGAGAGGATAAAACTATGTGTGTGTTAGTCTTTGAAAGAAGAAACCATTTTAAAAGCAGTCTTTGGATTAGAATTTCAGTAAGATCACTGAGTATCCTGTAGAGGTAATTTAGGATGAATTACCAATGCTCAGTACTATGTTTGAATCACTTTCATAACTTCTGATTTTTTTTCTTCATTAATTTCCACTGCCTTTTGAAATCAGTTTTATGATTTAACAGGAAGTATGTTCTAAAAATAAATATTTAGTGCAGTAAAAGTGACAGCAGTGCCTTCTGCTTTTTATAATCAGATCAAGATAATACTTTTCCTGCTTGTACCTTTGATGTTTTCTGTCCACAGAACAATCTAGAGGAAAATGGCTGCCTTTTTGCTTTACTAGTCAAGGACATAAACTACTATATGTTTATCAGAATTTGGTAAGGCATTCACTGTGCATACAGTGTACAGTGTCACACTGTGGCTCACTATTAGCTGAGGTGCTCAGATACCTGACATTATAGTTTTTTTAACTTGTACTCCAAATCTTCTTTTGAGTGACCAGTTTAAATATTTAACACTTAAAGAGTAATCTTACAGTACTGGTAATCCTGAGAATACTTTCAAACTTGCATCAAATGTGATTTCAAGTGAGATCAACTAGGATGTAATAAAGACTCAGAATTACTTCAGAGCTTTCATATATAGGTTACTGATGTTTTGGGGTATAAGTGCACCATACAGTGTTCCCTGGGGAATTTCCATACTTGTTTGTGAAGAAGACTGCTGAGAATTTTCGCCATCAGTCCTGTACTGCATTGTTTCCTGTAAGCAGTAGATTGGAGAGCCTCCTCCATTTTTCATCTAAGGGAACATCATACATTAATGATACATTGTCACAGAATTTTAAGGGAAGGAAGGAATCTGGAAGAAAATTTTAGAAGGCTTATTTTTTTTATATGCAAAGAGTTTAGTGAAACACAGATACAGATTAATTAGGTAAGTGTTGGCTTCCTGAATTACTTAAAAATTTATATTTTGAAATTTAAAGAAAAGAATAAGGTAATATATGCTGTTTTTTATAAGGGAAGATAGTATAGGACACTTTTTTTAGATTAGCAAATAACTTTTGACTCCATATCTAAAAGTAGCAACCAATTATAAATTGCCTGAGATGACGATACCAGTAAGGTAAGGTGTGGGGCTTTGGATTTGGGTTGTTTGTTTTTTTTTTTTTTTTTTTTTTTTTTTTCTTGTGTGTGTGTGTGTGTGTTTTAATTCACTGTGGTGAAATAGAGGAAAAAAACAAAACAAAAGAAAACAAAATCTTTGAAGAACAAATCCTTCACAGACTTTAAATTCCAACTATGATAGAAACAGGGATCCTTTTCTTGCAAAATCATGTCTTTTCTCAATTAAAATTCAGTAGAAACTCCCGAGTCTTTCAACTTTTAATATAGTGTCAATAACAAGAATTAAATGCCATATGTTCTTGAATATGATTATTTTCCAAGCTATACTGATGTTAAACAAGCTTTAAAAGTCTGGAAGATATTATAACTTTCCATGGTAGTGCATCTAAAAAGCTGGGCAACAGAGGATGTACCAAATAGCTTGTTAATTTAGAAGGCTTAACAAAGCAAGCTAATGCCAATTCCATGAAGGAAGTAAAATGTCATATTACAGTTGGTGTTGGTCGGTCTGCATTTTGGATGCTGGTGGGTAACTGAATTTACAGGTGGGGGTCATGTTTAATTTATGCTTGCAACCTGTTGTACACTTCAAATATGAATGGTTGCTCCCCTTCTTTTAAATTCTGCTTTCTTAATCAAAAATACCTGACAGTGTTGTGATATGAGTGTACTCTTTTCCCTAGTTCAGTGTCTGTCTTTGTGAAACCTACTTGGCCTGAATGCAGTACTCAAGTGGGTGGAATCTCCTTGAATAAAGGAAAATATGGAGGTGCCAACAGTCTGCAGTCAAGATAACGGTACTCATAACTTTTGCATCTCTTTGAAAAAGAAAGAAAACTAACAAAAAAGTTTTATTCCTTGGTTTCTAACTCTTCTTCCATTGAGTCATGAGAGAGGAATATGTCTAGAGGTATTACTACAATAATCGGAATGATTCTTGATGTTTAATGGTGGAATGCAGTTAATTTAGAGAGCATCAGAAGAGAATACCTGGCATTTTTTTCTGGCTTATCAAGTCAAGGGTCTCTGCAGCTGTATCAAGAACGACTAATAACTGCAACAGGGTTTGGTTAGTTTGGTTGGGTTTGGGTTTTTGGTTTTTCTGTATTTTTTTTTTAAGGAAATGATTCTCTGTAGTTTGAAGGTTTGTGCTTCTGTATGGAACATCGTGGTCTATTTGAGACGAGTTGGATGTAGGGATAGTACTCTAACAGGTAATTAGTAGAAGTCATCTCAAAAAGAGGCAACCAGTAATGAGGAAAAGATCTTAAATGGTGTCTCCACCAAAGGTAATGTTTTGTTAGGCACTAGGAAGTTCCTACAGAAGAGAACCCTTTTAAGAAAACTGTGTTTTGGGAGATATTTCCCTGTGGGAATCACAATCAGGGTTCACTGAGTTATCGTTAAGTGCCTAGATGTCTGCTTTCTAGAAACAGATGACTCTTTTGATAATGAGGTACATTTCCAAGCTTTCCCAGTTTGGATAGTCAATAATTCTGCCTGATTGAGACAAAAGTATAATCTGCAGAAACTTAGTAGGCAAGTATCTGTATAAATTCATGCATAAGGAAAATACTTCAGTGAAACTAAAGTTGAAGATAGATCTCACATAAGTGGTAACATTGAGGTCTGGAGATGATACAGGAAACAATTAACTAGCAATGGCTATAAAAATTGTGCTCAGGAGAGAAATAAAGAAGGGCTCCCATGTTTAGGCTGGCTGTGGTGACTGAATGATAGCAGCTAATGATACTGTCTGCAGTAGAGAGTACTCAGCTACTATGGGTCCATTGGATAAGCTTTACCTTTAAGAAATTATTATTTTGACTTTAGCTGATGTAATTTTAGAAGCTCCTAGTGTCTTTGGTTTACTTCAACACTTTTCTTGTATTAGAATATGACTCAGTGAAACATATCTTAATGTTGTAAATGAATAAAGGAAAGTCTGTAGTTACAATCGTATTGCGTGTTTACTTTGGCACTAAAAAGCAAAGAGACAGCTTGTGCTTACCAAAATACACGAGAGTTGAGAACTTACTATCCTTTGACATGCAGCGGGAGTCAGGCATCCAGCTCTTATGGTCTCCTTGAGAACTCTTATAGCTTACTAAATCCAACTCCTAGCATTTGGAATGGTATTGTATTAGTGCTGTTATAAACGTTATGTTTCTTGGGAAGTGTGTCACATATCAGAAATGATCTGTTGCCATTTCTGAGGTAAAATTTAAATTCCATGCACTCACAAAAATCCAGTTTGTATCTAGGCCTGACTTTGTGTAACATCTTACCTATTTGTCACCTCTGAGTTTATGCCTTCTTGAGATTTTTAGAAAGACACTGGATTTTTCAGTTTTCACTGTACTAGAATACTGTTCCTAACAGAGCAAGTGCTGCTTTTAATAGTAAGAATGGTTCCTCCCCTTTTCTGGGACATGTTGTGAGTGTCTGTGACAATGGTATGTATTTGTCAGGAATTTGCATTTTCATTAGTGATAGTCTCCACAATGTCTGCACTTCTCAAGGTGGAGAACAACAGATGGTCCCTGGCCCAAACAGTGGATCATCTGAAAGAAAAGCCTATAAAATGAGCAAGGCAATTTTTTGTTTACCTCTTCTCAGTAGGAGGTTTGAGTTTGAACCCAGATTGGTATGTGTGAGATACCCTCTGTGTTCTTCTCACAGGTCAGTTGCAAATTGCTAGTATTGACCTAACCCTGCTGGTTAATACCATAATAAAGTAAAACTCTTGTGCAACAGAGTTGATAGCACGGAACAAGCAAAGCAGACAGAAAATGAGTGCGTTTCTTGGAAGTATAAACAGAGGAAAGGTGCTTTTCGAAGGCCTGGGTCACTGTTTGGCTTTGGCTGGTTTTCTGTTTGTACTGAAGTGTCCTGCGCTTTTCTGTTTCTTGGGCTCAGGTATATCTCATGTTCTGACTCTAGTGCTACAAGAACTGAGTTTGCTTTGTAAAAGAGATGTCAATGGTGTTGGCATGTTATATGACCTGCTTGGATCTCGCTGGCTGCAAGCACTTCTAAAGGTAATTTTCATCTGTGAAGGCAAAGATTTCCTAGAGAACAATATCTAGGGTATAGCTACTTTATTTTGCTGTATCAGGACAATAAATGATTGTTAACAATAAGTGCTAATAGTCCTAATGTCATTTCTAACATCAGCAGTCAAGGTGAACAAAACAACATTTGCTTTAAAGAAAAAAAAAGCATTCTCTTTTATAATGTCGTAGACATTAACCCTGTTCTTCTTTACATGTCCGTATTAAGGCCGGGGGGATGGAGACATAGGCTGAACACAGCACTGCTCAGCTGTCTATTCTTAAATCTCTGTATGGTTATGCATCCCATTTCTTTGGCATGGATGCTTGTGAAATTACATTTTTTTGGTTTTGCTCACACTGATCTGATGTGTAGTTGAAGATTTTAACTTCTGTTATAGAACAGAGTTTTGGCTGATATTTCTTGAGTAGAATTGTATCTGAGACAAATTCTGTACAAGTTCTGCTTTTCTTCTACCAAGGATTTTTAAAATCTTTAAATATTAAAGAAAAACTTGCAGTGGATAAGCATGTCCATACGGCCGTTTTAAATGCAGCAATTTATTGTGTTTTAAGTTAAATTTACTTTGTTGATCATGTCTGCAACTAGAGGAAGCAAGCTACAAGTCAGAGAACTGATGCTACCAGGTTACTGTCTTGTGTAATCAGCTTTTCTTATTGGAAAATTCCAAACTACAGTATGACTGGCTAGCTGGATGATAATATGGAAAGACAATGAATTACAGACTCAAATCCAGTTGCATTAGATGTTAAGGATTGAGATTGCGAGCTCTGGCTCTAGTTGGACTGAGAAATTCCTAGAAATACAGTATTGTCCATTGTGTGTTGTGTATGTGTCGTGAATATAATCATGTGAACAGATATCATCATTGCATTGTCTTGTCTATCATGGCATGCAATAGATTTATGAATGCCTCCAACACTATCTTGGAAAAAGACCAGTTCCTGTCACACTGCAGGCATACGCACTGAATCGTGAGGTAAGACTCTGTATACATCGTGTATTGCTTTACTTACACCAAATTAGTCAATTTAGCTGCAGATAAGTGTTCTGGTATTTGTTTTCTGTCTCAGGTCTGAGTACACCATATAAACTTTAAAGATTCTCTCCTTACATATTTATCAAACTACTCAAGAACTCTTACTGTGTTAAGATGGGGGGGATGAGAAATGTATACAGCGGTGGTCACTACAATGCGTGAGCCCTGGCTGGCATAATGAAGACAAATAATTTGTTTTAACCACTAGCCATATATTTTTCTTCCCATATAACTGTGTGGCTCAATGTTATGGCCACAATCAAGTGGTCTGACATGAGGTTTTTGAAAAGCTTTTTGAATTTTTTCTGATCGTAATAGCTGATTGATTCTTAAATTTCTGAATCAGTGGGAGAGTTAATGACTAAGTGGAGAAACTGACGCTAGTGATGAAATCAGTAGTAGAGGCACAGGAGAAATAACTAATTTAGAGCACATGGCACTGTGCCTGAACTAAATTAAGCCTGTTTTAAGTGTTGTGCAGCTGTGGTCATATTGTCCAATTCTAGAGCAAACTGCATAGATGTACTCTGAGTCATATATCATGGAGGGCCTAACACTCTCGCCATACCATAGTCTTCTAAATTCAATTTAGAGCTTTCTAAGTTAATTGTCCCACAGAACCAGTCTCTGTGCTTTCTCTCACATTTATCAGGTGATAGAGTTACTGCGTGAAGCCCCTCAGTTTGGAGAAGTCAAAGAGCTAAGACGACTACTGTATGCTCCACATTTAAAGGCAAGTCCTGCATAAGGAAAGAAAAAGCTTGCTCATAGAGCTGTCTGCAGTGGGAATGGAAACAGAGAGCCATCTGTTCACAAAAATTGGCAAAGGAGCCAGAAGACACATAGTTTCCTAATAAAGAACTAACCTAGCTGTGAAATCGGATGTGCGCTGTGTATGTGAAGTACCTGTAGTGGGCTTTATTTTATCTAAGGGCTGTGTTTCAGAGAAATGTTTCTTACAAAGTTAAATCTGGAGCGGTGGTTGCAGACATGAAACCAAATTTTCCTTGTAATTGCAAAACCTGCTTTCTTTACTCTAGAGCTCCAAATAGAAGTGTTTTGGGTTTTTTAAGTGTTCCAGAAGCAGAGGGGAACTGTTCTTAGAACTTTATTTTACAGTTTAAATTTCCAGGTGGAAAGAGGAAAAAGTCAGTGTGTGCAAGTGTTCTATATTTGCATAGGAACTTGTTTGCCAATTTCTGTTTTCTGACTAGTCACTGTTTAAAGCTGTTCAATTGTACGGTCTTTGCTTATGTGTTACTTTGTTTGCTTGTTTTGTTTGTAATAACAGGCCCTGCTATCTGCTCATGATACTGTGGCCCAGAAAGATTTTGAACCAACCCTACCACCACTGCCAGACAACATACCTGAAAATGAGGAAGCAATGAGGATTGTCTGCTTAGTGAAAAACAACCAGCCTCTGGTGAGAGAACTTTCTGTTGTCAGTCAAATTATTTTAATTTACACAAGCATTGATAAAGCATCACATACATATCGGTTTCTTTCCAGAAATGCCACAGATTGTGTGTGTTCTTGTCCAGTTTTTACAGAATCACAAGAATTGTGGAAGTTGGAAAGGGCCTTAGGAGAGACCATCTAGCCCCGCATCTGTACCTGTGGGTACAACTAAAGCAGGTTGTTCAGTGCCTTGTCTGCTCAGGGTTTGACTGTTCAGCAGACGTTTTTATCTCATATAATGAAAATGCAAATTGGATTGAGAGCTGTTCCCTTGACCAGAATAATAAGGAAGGGAGGAGAGACTCTGAAAAGTTCTTTAGAAATCATTTGTGCCTATAAGTGGAAAACATTGTATAGCGTAACTAACATGTTTTACAAAAAGATAGCTGTAATAGAAAAGATTTCCTACAGTCAGTGAGGTTATTTTGGTATGATGGAATTTGAAGACATTGAAGGACTTAGCGCTAATAATGATGCATTGTCGCTAGATCAGCTTAGTGTTAATAAGGCTGTATCTTTCAATGCCTTTCTGTCATTGCAAAGGTGAGATTTGTGATGTGAAAGGCAACTTACTGCAGTTCTTCAGTGATCAGTGTGTTTTTTCTTTGTTTTTATTTGCCAGGGTGCCACCATTAAACGCCATGAGATGACAGGTGACATAACAGTTGCCCGTGTGATCCATGGTGGGCTAGCAGACAGAAGTGGTATGTGTAATTTGAAACAGTGATACAAACAACTGAACTTGAAATAAGATTACTGAAGTAAGATAATTGCTTCGCTTCTACAATTAGTATTCCATTATACAGCAAGAAGTATATGTTGCACAGCACTGTAAATAGTCGTACGTTGCAGTGACTTTGATTCTAGTTTCATTAATTTTCATATTAATGTGCTATGTTTGAGTTAAGGTATAAATCCAGTTTACATTATGTACTCTTGGCACCAATACCTGGATAAATGTGTCATGAGTTTGATTAGGAATATCCCAGATTGCAGTGTAGTATGAATACAAGCAGCTCATTCCCAGATGAAGAATTGGAAAACATGAGTAGTCTGTGATTCTAGAAGATAATGGCCTTTAAGGAACATGTAGTAATACCTTTTGGCACTAGTTTACTAAATGCTTTGCTAGTTTTAGTAGCTGAGCAGCCTTCCAAGGGGTTTCCTTGGAAATGTTACTATTTTGTCATCCTAGAACTGAATGTGTCCCATGTTCCTTGGAAAATGTAACTAAAATGTAAAACATCAGAAGTAAAAATGAACTGCAGTCATTATTAAATAGTTCCTTTTAGTTTTTTCTGGCCTTTGTATACAGAAGAAAACCCAAACTGTAGACAACAGCTACGTTCCTAGTTTGATTAATGTTTTGAGCTGAAGGAAAATGTAAAAGTAAACAATACTGTGAAGACTTTCTACAGGACAGAGAGGAGTCCCAGGGCCTCCCGCTGCACCTGGAATTAAGGGTCTGATTCCAAGTCTCATGGTCTATTAATATAGTGGGTTTAGCTAGAATAGGTTCCGAAATTACTTTGGGAAATTGAGCTATATTTAAATGTTTCTGCTACTTTTAAGGCAAATCATCAATAGACTATAAATATGTTTTAAGCGGGAGGTGGGAGGAAATAAGAAAACAGCAGCGTGCAAGTGTCTTGTGACACTTGGAAATCTGCAGTCCCATTGAGGGGCAATATAGCCTAAATCCAAAATGCCCTCCTGCATACCTGGTGTATGGAAACTTTCAGTGCTGACTTCCAAACCTGTGGTGTATCTGTGTCTCCCTGCCTCGCCTACCCAAGCTAATCCATACTATGCTAAAACTGCTGCTGCTTTCCTCCTTGTTTTCACTGTAGGGTTGCTGTATGCTGGAGACAAACTGGTGGAAGTAAATGGAGTTCCTGTTGAGGGACTTGAGCCTGAGCAAGTTATTAATATTCTGGTATTTAATGTTTTTTGAATCTTTTTCTACTGTAACTGTATGCTGTTTCTTTTAAACACATACACACAGAAAATTCAGATTGTTTCCTTACTGTGGATGAAGTTCACACCTGCTCTGAAATCAGAATGTTTGAAACCAGAATTACATCTAACCCCTGTTCTGGACAGAAATTAACTTAATTGTGACCATTCCACCTGCAGATTCTGGGGAAAACGATACTATTTTATTCAGACTTTACTGATTCATAACTTTTCTGGAAGCTCCACTCAGTTAATACTCCTCAAGAAAGTAGTGGAAAGGTGCTGTTCTAATGAGTCTGTGTTACAAAATGCACTAAAGCAGAGACAGTGAGTTTATAAGCCACATACCTCGCCTTGCAATAAGGGGCAGTGGTTATCAGAGTTCTCATGAAGAAATCTGTTGAGCTGTCCCTGGTACGTGGTTGTCAGTTTGCCCACAATCTTTCGGTGTTTTTCACTGCAAAGCATTAGTGCCAGTCAGCAAGGTACTGCTACATATAATCAGTCTCGAGTCTTTGTGTGCTATTTCCCTGGTTGCAATATTTCTAGGTATAAGAAATACAAACTCTATTGGAATGCTTAATTCTTAAATTTTTTTTTCCTCTTCCCCCTTTACTTCACTTATGTAACCAGACCTTACTGCTAATTTTAATTAGATTTCAGTGGAAAAGTTTGGTATGAATTAATGATTAAATTATGTGTATCTATAATTATAGATTTAATTGAATTAAAAATATTTAGCAAGACTTTGAAGATTCATTCTTGAGTTTCTTTTTGAAAAATATACAGTATTGTCACATTGTCTGCCTAAATTCGCTGTGTAATATAGACATTATAGTAACCCCAAAGCCATGCTGTGTTAAGTCTGTGCTGCCAATGTTTGGTTATTTGTGTTGAATACCAGTCATATTTTAATCCTTTTCTAATCATTTAGGCCCTGTCTCAGGGGACAATTATGTTCAAATTAATTCCAGTTTCTGATCGGCTTGTCAGCAACCAAACAACAGTAAGAGAAATTCTTTTTTCTGGATTGTTACTGCAAACAGTTACCCCAATAATGTCTGATGGTGTGATACAAAGAAATGATGTTGCTTAGAAGTTCACTCCAATCCTTAAAGTGCTACTTGCCTTTGTAGCTATCTCTCAGCTGACATCAACATGCTCTTGCTGAAGCAGTAAAGACAATAAGCTGAAATATAGTTGTGTTAAAGGTAATTAAGTAATTTTCAGCAATCTACAGAACCGTGTAGGGATCTGTTGAAGGTCAATTCTTTTCACAGTGTGCAAGACAATTTTTTTTTTCTTTAATGAACAGATAGGGTTTGGGGCTTGATCTAGTTTTTAAAACTTGACTACTTCATGCATTGACTTAAGTAGCAGCAGTATCTGGCCCTGTGATAAAGTTTATTTTGTATCTGTTCTGAACATGGCTTCCACTTACTCTTCTGTATTTCTTTACCAGCTCTATGTGCGAGCAATGGCAGATTACTGGCCCTTGCAAGATCCTGCCATTCCGTGTGCTGATGCAGGTTTGCCTTTTAAGAAGGGTGAAATACTCCAGATTGTGGATCAGAATGATGCTCTCTGGTGGCAGGCCAAGAAAGCTTCAGATCTCAGTGCCTGTGCTGGACTTATACCTTCAAATCATCTTCTTAAAAGGTAAAGAAGTTGTAATTTTTCTGACTTCCAGTTCAAAAACTAGCCAGTTATTCAGACTTAGATATATAAAATTTTCATCAGTTATACAGCAGTATGGTCCAGAGTGATATCTGACAAACATCTTTCCTCTTTGTGTTCTCTGACTTCTTGCTCTCCTTCCCTTAAGAGTACCTATGTGAAAATGAGGTTTTAAAAGCACCTATGTCATCTTAAATTGATGTCTAAGAAGTTCACAGCAGTTGCCTAGTCTCTATGCTAGGGGCTAAGGTACCTAGTGAAGTGTAGCAGCTAAAAGATGGGTGGAAATTAAGGGCCCTGATTGTTTAGGAATATCATCTATGATTAAAAAAAAAAAAAGGGAGGTGGGAGGAAGAGTGGGATACTAAATGTATAGTATAAGGGCATAGCTGTATCAAGAACCAGGGGGGTGGGGTGGTATTAAAAAAAAAAAAAAAGACAAAAATCACCAAAATCACATGCTTAAGGAAAACCAAGGGTTCCTTGCCTATTATTTTCTGCATAAATAGCCCGCTATTTTTATACTATATGCTTTCAGAACCTGAGTACTTAAACTGCTGTAGCACAGTTTTCAGTTTGATCCTCTAACCTAACCACATGTCCCGTCTGTGTTACCCTCAGGAAAATGTAAGGCCATGCAATTGTAGATGATAAGCTTTGATTTGTACTATATATAAACCTAGTTGTGGTCAGTATAATGAAAGGTGAAATCAAACCAGATTGTGATTGAGGCTGCAAGCAAGAAGCTCTGTGTAGTAACAGAGGCAGTGGTACTACTACCCCAGCAGTAGTGCACTCTTCTACTTGCAGGAGTCTGTACCACGGTATGGCTTACCTTCCTGCCCTTATATATAAGCCTAAAATACTATAAATACTTCTGGGCTGCTGATTTGAAAATTGACTTTAAATAGTCCTGATAGCATGTCAGCTTTGTTTCAGGGCTTTGCAGTGGGCTAAACCAGTGGTAATGGTTCCATTCCTGGTGTCTTCAGTGAGCTCAGTACTGATTGATCTTATGTGTAAGCAGTGAATCTGACTGGAGTGCAGTGTGCTTGTGGAGTGCTTTGGTTTTTTAACGGTGATAAATCTATTTCTGTGTAGGAAGCAGCGAGAATTCTGGTGGTCTCAGCCTTTCCAGCCTCATTTCTGTCTCAAATCATCAATGTGTGAGTTAAAAGTTATTTGAATGGTAGAGTAAGAAAGAATGGTCTTGTCTCTTTCCAGGGATACTGAAATAGAAGCTCATACAATGTTTTAATTCAAAGACATTGTTTCTGGAGCCATAGTTTAACTTCAGAAGTGTGATAACTGTCCCCAGACAAATAAATACTTAATCATAGTTGTACCTGGAGTACTAATGGTGGAGGTGGTTGTCTCCAGTGTATGGGATCTGACTGTGAGAGAAGCTGTGAATTCAACTCCGTCTGAACTCTGTAAGATCCAGGAGGTCTCCAGAAGAGCTAGTTCTCTCTAGGAGAACTGGGTGTGAATAAGTCTTGAGGTGACAATTGTATTAGCCTAGACTCTCCAGGAACACAGATAACAGTTCTGCACTGGAAGATGCCATGCAGCATATTTAGAATGTTTCTTCGTCATCAAAACTATGGAGAGAAAGATAGGACTTTTTTTCTTGAGGTGTAAGATAAGCTATGCTGCCCAAAAGTTGATTTGTGGTGACAATCAAGAAGCATCCACTGCTAGCTATAACTTTCTGTAAACATTCAATTATACCCAGACAAAGAATGTTTTTCCATTTTCTGTCTCCCCATTTTCTTCTAAACATGGTTCTTTTATATTAGTATAAAATTATATTTTTTCTCTTGTGGTAACTCCCAGATCGAGTGTGGTTCATTGTCTAGGATTCTTCTTGCACCGATTACTTTGTTTGTTAGAGCTGGGGCTCTCTTTCACCATAATTTTATTGCCTTTTAACTGCTTCAATGGACATGCTGTGGGCAGTAAGCACTGTGGAAGAAGGTAGGAGATAGTATCTGGACAACATTGCATTCCTGTACCTGGAATCAATATAGCACCTGGTTTTACAGGCTTTTTTATAAAGTTGTCAGAAATGAGGCAGTTTGGTAAATATGTGCAAAAGAAACCCAAGTTCTTGGAGTCGTATGTGCCTAGCATAATTGAAATAAAACATTTTTTCACTTGAAATAGTAGCAGTTTACATGGTCTTAAAGTGCAAACTTAAGCTATGCATTATCTGGTAGGGAACAGACAGTTTGGATGGTTGCTTTGAGGAAAGACTACGCTTCTTTCTCTTCTACTGTTTTCATCTTCAGCAGCTGACTTGAGCTGCTCTGAGAGAGTATTTCTTTAAAGGATGGATATGGGCAGAATATTCCCTGGCAATTGCCCTGTAACTGGAAAACAGCTTCTACTCGGTCTATCTGGAGGGGCACACAAGAACAGAATGCACAAACAGTGCAGTATTGTGAGCCCATGAGATTGCCCGAGCCCAAGAGATTGCATTTCAGAGACGTGAATTAATGTGGTGTGGGGGTGGAGCTGAATCAATCTTTTTCTTTTCCTTTTCTTGTTTGTAAAAACAAGAAAATCAACCAAACAAAACACTTTCCCTGAGTGAAGCATATTGGAAATACAGACACTTTTAAAAGCTAGAGAAGAGAAGGGAGTGGAAAATTATTTTCTGTCATGGTACTATTTAACAAATAGATAGCTACAGAATAAACAGAGCGACAGCCACGTTAAGCCATTTATTATTTCAAAAGGAGAATTCAAGTTAAACATGTTTGCCACAAGCCCTTCAGAGCAATGGTTTGAGAACAGCCTTTTGCTCACTAAAGACGGGGAACATCACTGAGGTGAAGTTAATAGTTAAAATCCTTAAAGATGTCTAAAGCTGATCTGAGCTTCATACGTTTTCTTTCTGACGTCTGAGTTCAATCTTGTAAGATCTGTAAGGTTTTTTTCCTCCCCAGTGTTTTTGATTCAGATGAATTTTTTTCCTTGTGTTGATCTGTAGAGGATGACATGCAGATTGATGAGAAGTGTGTGGAAACAGGTAACTGAATTCACTTCAGATGATTCTGTTTGCTTCAAGGTAGTAGCTAGTTAAAGCCTCGTTTTGTTTCCTAGATGAAAACACTCATTCTCCTAGTGGTAGAAAATTCGATTTGTCAAACCCTGGAAACCTCATCCTATATTACTGTATTAAAAAGAACTGTTTGCAACTCTGGTATACAGTGCTTATAGTGAAGTGTTGTGCCAAAAAGAGGGACCATCGCCAAAATATCTGCCCGAATGAGATGCAGTGTCTTTGATTCAGGTTTGGGACTGTGGTTGTAATGTTGCCATAGCTTTTGCCTATTGTAGAATTAATGCCACAGATGACTGTAGTCTTGGAGAATGCACACAATTCTTGTAGTCTTGGAGAAGCCGCAAAGTTTGTCAAGAAACTCATCTCAGGAGAATGTGTTTTTAGGCCCTGAGCAAGAATAGGTTTTTTCCATGTAAATAGTACAGGTGAAGACTGATAGCTTGACTTGCTTCCTAAAGCAGCACAGCTCATTCTTCCTTCTGAGGTAATTCAGGAGTTAATTCAAGTATGGCAAGCTGTATTTTGCCACCTCAGTGTAGAGGGACGTGGGGAAGTTATGTGTGAGACAAACTGACAGGAGCTGGAAAATTGATTTCTGATTCTGAAATTCTATAGGAGGAAAAGAATTAAACTTTGAATTTATTTTAATATCTTTGCTATCTGGATTACAAAACAAGATGAAGAGACATTTGAGTCCGGTAAGTTCCTCTGACCTAACTCTGAATTCCTTGCTGTTGTTGTTCTGAGAAGGGTGTCCAGAGACAAGTGTCTTAAACAAGCAGGTGTCAAAAACCAGAATGCCATACTGGCTTGAAAAGCTACTATGTAAAATGCTGTTGCCTTAAGTCTTCCTCTTGCTCTCAGATTACCTTAGTAGTAAGGTTTTTGTTCTGTTATCCCACAAGTGTGAGTGTTTGTTCTTGTGCATCAACTTCAGATTTGTTTATCAAATCCTAATCAGTTATACCTGTGCAAGCTGTGACAGCAGGGGCTGCACTGATGTCAGGGGATAATTGGATTACCTTAGGGTAATGGAGGACTGAATTCCCAGTGCCTGTAGTAGTTGTAAAGAGGAGAGCTGTTATGGATTCAGTCAACTGGTACTGGTTTGGGGGTTGTTTTTTTTAGGGCACAGCTACCTATTTACAGCATATTCAGTCGTGCAAAATTTAAGTCTCCTAAAATAAATAATTGTTCCACTAAAATAAATCTACTACTGCTAAACTTTGAGATATTTGGTAATCTTGTGGAGAAAATGTCATTCCACTATTACACTTGCTCTTCTCCACAAGGTTCCTACTTGCTAGTTGGATATTCTCACCAGTGGTTCGTTCTCTTCCACCTCTCAAGCAATGCCCAAATCTTTTAAGATAGAACCAGCAGGTCTACAGGGCAGTCTTGTTTCCAGGCTAGGATGTTTCTGGTAACGGCACTTGGGTATTCATCTTGCAAATCCTATTCCCTACTTAGTGCTGAGTCAGCTCTCTGCTGTATTCAGACAATCAAAGGAATAAAGGTGCAAATATTTTCTATCCTACATGGTACTTCAACCAGTAGTTGAACATCTTTGTGATGTATTTTCCAAGTACAATACTGACATAGATGCTGTAGCTGAGTCTGTCATTCTTTGGGAACTGAGAATTCATGCTTGAACAGGCATGTTTTAGATTTAAAGCCTGCAGTAGCTGTTTCCTAAATTGTCTAAATGCATTGGACAATGCTGGCTGGAGATTTTTTTAATCTTAGTATAGACTGTTTTCTCAGAACTAATTCTTTTATGTCTGTCTCTATCTGAATGTGCAGAGGAGCTTAAAGAAGGTAACACTTTTTCCTTCCTGTGTCCTGTAAGTAGTAATCTATTAGAATTTATCTGTGTTTATTGCATTACCAGGAACTACCACTGCTCTTACAATAGCTGGTAGCTGAATTGCTTGTTCCCTGTAGGATTCCTCATTGCACTCCATTCTGTAAAGCAGAGTAGATAAAGAAGAAATACTCAAAAAGATTGTAATGATGGCTCAAAAGACCTGAAGAGAGAAATGATACAGGCATATGTCAGTGAAACAGTAAGCTGAACTTTGTTCTGGACGAGCAGTTGTGCCAAGTAGTTTGTTCAAGAGTCATAAACAAGCAGCTATTAGTGCATGTAGAAATAAAACTGTATTTTAAAGTAGTGAAGAGTATATAGATGTGAAAGAACTAAGATGCATCTAACTTTGTTTTGATACTTGCATGCTTATCAGATAACTATCAGTCAAAGAATCTAGTGCTAAAAGACAATACATTTCATGCTTTGCAAATGAAAATAATGTTCCTTCCTTGGAACAATTGCTGCCTTTAAAGATATGCCTATGTCTTCTGCATCTTATTCTTGCTTTAATAAGGCCTAAATAAAGGGAATACACATCTTCAATAACTACATGCATGATCAGAGGAAAAATAGGAGTCCTTTTTGAGGAGAAACCTAAACACTGATGATACCATTTTTTTCCCTTAGTTATTTGTTTTCAAATCACCCTTATAAAATAACTTCTAAACTTTTAGAGTATTGATCTCTTGGTAAATTGATGTTTTTAAGCCTTATAGGAGAGACTTCATTTAAAAAAAAAAAATACATATATAGATTTAGAAGGCTCACCTGAATGGTTAAGCTTTCACAAGGCATGAGAATGCGGACAAAAAGAACTGGAGGAAACAAATTAGTCTGGGATGTTGGAGCACAGATATCCCTGATCCAAAGATATTAAAAAGAAATAATAAAGTCAGGTCTTCAGTCTGCCTGAAAGACGTGAGGAGATGCATGTTGCATTTTCTAAGCATACTATTGGGCAGAAACTGCGTTACAATTTTTTTATTTCTAATTTTGAGCTACTGATTTTTGTTATTGTAATGTTATCACTAAAGAATTCTTTAAGCTAGGTTTCACCTGAAAACCTTGAATTGGAGTTTTCTTCACTACAACTATTTCAAAACATTGCCTGACATCTAGTTATATTAGGAATGAAACAAATAAAATGTTGAGTTTCAAAACTAATTTAGAAAAAAACAAGACTTTCTAAGTTTAATTTTTCTCTTACAGAAATCCCAGAAATCCTTTGAACTGGTCAACAGTTGTGAAATATTTGAATATTTCATCTTATGGAGTATTGTGGGGTTTTTTATTAGATTAGGCATGGTACTTCCATGTGTTTACAGAAACACTGTTTTTCATTTGGAATCAGCAATAATTGTTAGCCATCTAGCTCTTGCGCTTTCCCTATTCTTTAGTTCATGAGTATTTGTTCTTTGTATTCTAGAAGAGGAAGAATTTGGTGACTTTGGTCAACGAGTCTTTATTGGTATGCAATGACTAAAGATAAGTAAGAAGTTTGGGGCTTGATCTAGATTAAGTGCTTGTCTGAAGTTTAATAAAATGCTCTGTTCTTTATTTTACCTAAAGGTTTACTGAATTGAATTCTATTTGCTCTGTTTTCCAAACTTAAAGAAGTTGCTTCCTTCCTCCTGCTTGTTCTCTCCATTTTAAATCTCTCTTCTTGTTAGGTTTCTACTGAGACTTGACCACCACTATTTTAACTTGACTGGTTGTTAAGATTTCCTCTACTTCACAATTAATTTTGCTAGAGCATAATGTTGTATGTCATCCATTGTGATAATCGTGAGGGCTTTCATTAGAAAGGTAGACCTGAAAGTGAGTTTTTTCAGAGTTGGATGGTAAGGTGGAGGAACAAACCTGTCCATGTTATTAAACTGTAGTGACGTTTAAAATATTTGGATTCATTCTGGAGGCTGAAGCACATGTTCCAGATTCGTTTTAGGAGAGTGAACCAGCTACCCTATCAAAACACAGTTGACCTGTTCCCTAGTGATGCTTTGTGTGTCCAGAAACTTCTCTTTCAGCTTGTTTTGGGGGTCTTCAATCCTGGGCTAATTTTCAGATGACTTTCAGTGAGATTTGCCCTCCTCTTTAGCTGTCTTTTAATGCTCAGAGGTCCTAACAACCTGACATTCCAACTGTAGCAACTGAATTCATTAACTTTCACCCTGCAAAAAGCTCAAAAAACCAGTATGTTGTGTGTCTTAAAGACACTCTAGTCTAAAGAATTAGTTGTGTGCATCTCGGGTGTATTTTCCAGTACTGATGTCTTTGCCCCTTACAGCTGGTTTCCGTAGAAGTATGCGCCTGTGTCGCAGGAAATCCTGGACCAACCAGCAGTCATGTTACACCCGGTGCCCCAGCAGCTGTTACAGCACTCTTGCAGCTCCATATGAAGAGGTAGTTAGGTACCAGCGGCACCCAGCAGACCGGAACAGACTAATTATACTAGTGGGTAAGGGGTTAATTACTTTCTTATGCAAATTTCACAATCTGTAACAGAGACGAAGAAAGAGTCAATCATGGTCTGATCCACTGAGGTTTCTCACTACTGATTGCAGTGGTTGCAGACTGTACAGGTAGCTCTCAAAGCTACATTTCAAGAATGATTGTCTGTAATTTGACCCCATTATTAGTTTTAAAGTTTAATGTATGTATCATCTTAGCTTGAGATAGTGACTGTTTTAAGAAAAAAAGTCCTTAGAAGCCATACAGTTACGAATGCTGGTTGATAATGGATTTTATTAGGGAAACGGTTCAGTTTCATATTCAGCAGGGACTGGTACCAAAAGCAATGAGAAAACATTTGTAACATATTAGAAAACATCTTTACATGGATGCATTTCTGCTGCCAGTGGTAAATGCATGGATATGGCAATGGTAAAAATGCTTAAAATTAAACTCCAGATGAGAACAGCAAACATTTTAAGTGGGCTGCAGGCTCTCAAGTAGTTTTTAATTATAGTGACTGAAAGGATGCTGTTGTTCTGCAGTGTTCCATGATCCTGATAAAGCAAACTGGGTGAAGGCAAATCTGTTGTCCTTTCTAAGTCTGGAAGTCTTCGATGATAATTTTTTCTTTGAAAATGGTATTGCTGAGTTGCCTCCTGGGTATGACTATATTGCTGGCAAGTGATTTGTACGCTAAATCAGTCAAGATGCTTCAGTCACGCATAAATGAAATGCATTTCACTTATGCATATGCAGTGTGTTTAGAAAATGGGGGGTATGCATGCGAAAAGTGCCTGTGTCAGTAATATCAGTTGCTTTTCCAACTTCCCAGGTCCTGCGGGAGTTGGTGTGAATGAGCTAAGGCGAAGGCTTATTGCGAGTAACCCACGAGAGTTTCAAAGTGCCATACCTCGTATGTAATGTTGTTCTTCTTTCCCCTTCTACCTCCTACAAATGCGATTAGAAAATGTCAAGTACCTCCCTTTTGCCTTTGTGTATTCCTACACGCTGCTGTATGGCTGTTTTTTCAGCCCTACTGCAAGCCAGAATCATTCGCTTTTGTAAGGGTTAGTTTAGAATACTATCTTTCTCCTTATTTTGGCAAATCAGCCGAAAGTATTTTCAAGTTTCAGCTCCTGAAACCCTTAAAGTTTTATGTAGCAGTAGATTATCTGCATGATTTTGTTTAATCTTGATGCTTGCTTTTCCTTGATTTAAAAATAAGAATGTTTCTTAGGGATATTGTAAGTTCATGGTGTTTAAGTGATCAGATATGAGAATGGAGGGAACAGAAGTTGGTGCTTAAATAGGCTTTGCAGCTTTCCCTATTGGCCTTCTAGTATCAGTTGAGACTTACACAGTTTAATTTCTGATGTAATAACTGAAATTGTTTCTACCTGTGCTTATTTGGTTCTTGTGATCTGGTTAACCAAATGGGACATATATGAATCTGCAGCTGGTTGAAAATTCAGGAATTCTTCTGTGCCTAAGATCCCAGAGATGGGCTAGGTGCAAGTGTGGGGAGGTTTGTGGGATGTTTCCGAATGAACTTTAATCAATTTTCCCTCAGAGGAGTAAAACCAGTTGTGCAACCAGTTCCAAAGCAGTTCCTGAATGGTTTGAGTCACAGATACTTGGATTAAACCATTCTCATTCCATTCCAAGAAATACAGATGTGCTTTGCTATCTTTCAAGGACTTCCCCTGGGCAACCAGCAGACAAGGCTTTTGCTCTCGATGAACAAATGGAAATAACTCATTTTATTACTTCCGAAAACACTGATGTATAGTCCTTCATGAAAGTTCTCCTTTTCACTTGTAAAGTTACAAGAATTTACTTGCAGTTGATTTTTTTTTTTTTGTGTGTGTGTACATCTCATTTCAGACACCACTCGTGTTCAGAAGAGTTATGAAATGAATGGTCGTGAATATCACTACGTATCAAAGGAAACTTTTGAAAGCATGGTGTACAGCCACAGGTAGGTAGGAGAGATGAATTACAGTTCTGTTACTTAAAATGTAAAATGATCCAAGACAAGACAGTTTTATAGTTAGGTCCCAAGTCTGGACTCCTCCACTCATACTTACCATGTATGTTTGGTGTAAATTTGGGGTCACACTATTGGAGCCCGTTGTTCCAAAAACTGTGTTTCTGCAGTTTCAAATAAGCTCCTCTACAATTAATCTCAGAATCTTTCTAAAAGAAAGTGGCACCTCCAGTCTTGAGCTCGTTTGATGTGCTTGTAAGTTAGGAGTTTAACTGTCCTGGAAACCAGACTGATTTCTAAAACTGAGCAGTGATTCAGACTTCTTCTGAATCTACAGTTCCATTGCAGAATCTCTGCAGTGATGACATCTCCACGTGAGCAGCCAAACTGTAAGGCCTAAACTTTCAAAAGTGTCTGTTCCTTTCTATTCATCGATAATCCCTCTAAGATAGACCAGCTCAGCACCAGAAGCCACACTCCTTGAGCTGTGCCAAGTGCTTTGAGATCTTCTGATTTATAAAGTTATTTGTGCTGTATAAACGAACAAGCGTTTTATCATTAGAATCACACCCTCTAAGCACATAATTTGTAACAAGATGATGAGTAAAAAATGCATGCTGTGGAGATGTCAAACTGTAATGGTTCTGATTTTGTGCCCAGTGTAGCAGGGAGGAACAAAGGTGGAGGTTGTTCATCAGTGTTCACTATGTTTTATAATCATTAAGTCTTGATCACAGCAATAAATTTGAAGATTTCACCCTTAAATTGAACCTTTTTGAGACTCAAGTGCTCCTTCATTTTTCTTTTTCCTCACTGCTGTTGCAGAATGCTGGAATATGGAGAATACAAAGGGTATCTGTATGGTACCAGTATTGATGCAGTGCGAACAGTCCTCGATGAAGGGAAGATCTGCGTATTAGATTTAGAACCACAGGTGAGTTGTAAAGAGGCAGGGAATCTAGAGTTCATATCTTCTGGAAAGAAGAATAATTCTCTGTACATTCTTGAGCTATTGGAGTAGTGTTAGTTGCTTTGTCTTGTTTTTCACTTTAGGTCATCGTGCTTATTAATAATATAGATCATTATTTGCCTGGGTCTTGGGGCGGGGGGGAGCGGATACTACAGTGACAAGCAGGTACAGATCAGTCTAGCTCATTTGTTTCCAAGTCAGGCAGCTGCATTATCAGGTGGAATTGGTACAGGAATGAGTTTTCATACTTGCTTAAAGCAAGAATTATTGTTTCATGTGGAGACTGCTGCATAAGATTTCCTCCTCCCCAAATCCTGTTAGTTGAGAGTTCTGTCCTTCCATTTAGCAATCTCTGAACACCTTTTGGTAAAAGCAGCAACTATTAAAGTAATCGAGCAAAAGGGGGAATTACATCATGTATTTATTTGTCTTCAGAAGTAACTTAACAGCTGGGAGTAAGCTGCTGGCACACATGGCCAAACAGCTCTACAAGAACCTCCAGTGAGTGCTTGATGTGTAGACCACCACTCAACTAGGGACCAAAGTTTGAAAATGTTTATCATACAAGAAAGGGCAGCTTGCACATAGGCCCTAGCTGATATTGTCAACAGGTGCTTCAAATATTAGGGTGATTACCAGATGTTTCTATGTTGGGCATTGCAAAAAAACTTCAAATGCCATCTTTGCGTTCTGTATTTTTTCTTAATTACTTTTATTACCTCCAACACTTTCAGAACTACTTAACATGCTCACCTTTTCAGTTACTTAGTTTTTTCTTTCTATCTCTGCACTGAATTTGCTGATGAAGATAAGGCAAATAAAGGCCTGAGTCTGTAAATATCTATGAGACTTTGTGTCTAGCAAATCTTACTAAACTTGCATATTAAGTACAGGATTACTTGTACATTTATTACTTAGGAGCTGTTTTAGGCTTCTGGGTTTCAGCATCTCTTCTAACAATGTAAAGTGAGACACCATAACTCAGTAACTTTTAGATACTTTCCTCTACGCAGAGCCAGTGTGTCAGAACCTTAGGTTAGCAGTGGTTTGTGCTGTTTAAAATAGAAGTTAAGTTACATAACCTATCAGGTACTACTCAAAATCCAAACCACTATAAGGGGTAGATTAAGCCACACTTCAGTCTTCATTTCAGATCTAAAAATGTTTGGGTTTCTTCTGCTACACTCCTCCTAAACAAAAGGGAGAAGAGAGGGGGAAAAACTATGATCTTGCTACTTGAACAGATGTGCTACTCTCAGTTTTTTAGGGTGTGAGTTCAAAGGATAAGTTTTGGAAAGGGTATGAAGTAACGGCATATAGCTACTCTTCAGTAACTGCTGTGAATTACTGCAGAGTTCCATACTTGTATTTTAAATCTGGTGGCTTGGCCAACTTCATATTTAGAATTCTTCATTATCTTTTTTCTAGTTCCCTCCACTGCTCTGTAGTAGTTCAGAAATGCTTATTAGCAGAATGTTACACAGTTCAAAGATTTCCAAAAGCAGGATACTTTCTTCCAGTATGGAGCAATAAAGGTGTACTTTTTCCAAAGGCAGCTCTTGGGCAGTTAAAAAAACAGACTTCAGATTCATCTTTAATGTTGATTGTAGAGATCTGTTAATGGCAGTGCCCAGTCTCTCAGTGGAGTTGAAAGCATTTCCTAATAAGGCTATCAAGCAGAATTAAGTGATTGGTATGCTACAATTGCTTAACAGTGTCTGGTCCAGGGATTATTAGTGAGGTCATTTGAAAGCAGGTGTTCCTGAAAAAGATTACTGCTAGGCCTGGAGGTAACAGCACATTGTAAACAACTGGCACTTTATGGAGGTAGAACTGGGATGAATACACTTGAATACTTTAACTTCTTTTTACTCTTAATTTGCAGGGCATACAAGTAGCCCGGACTCATGAATTAAAGCCCTACATTATATTCATCAAGCCATCCAGCATAAGCTGCATGAGACAGACTCGTAAAAATGCCAGGTTCATTACAGATTATTATGTGAACATGAAATTCAAGGTAAGATTTGGGAGTAGAAGAGACATGGTTTATTATGCTGCAATTCTGTGTTTAGAACATAATGCATTCTATTATGTTACTATGTTAACTCAAAGAAAAGATTATAGTGTCTTTAGGATTAAATGTAAGTTATTCTTTTTGGTTTGTTGGGGTTTTTCTTCCTCCTCTAGATTTGCTTTGAAGTACAGAGGTTGTAATCTACAACTAGGGGATTGAGGCATTTTGCTTCAAAGTGTCCTTTAAAGAGAGGCTATTTTGTATATTTTTATTTAACTGCCTTGTGACAAGATTTGAGTCAACACATAAATTTATCATTTGCACTGAAATACCTGGGATGTGCTTCATTCAGTAATTTAAATACTTTTGTATTTAGTTATAACTGTATTATTTCATGTATGCTTAATGACAATATCAGTATCAATTCGATACTAAGTTTTATAGATAAAACACAAATCCTGCATGTCAGAAATGCATATCTTGTATTTACAATGTGTCTAGTGCATTGTCACAGTTATTTCCATGCAAATCATAATTAAATTTAGCATCTTAAAATTGTGGAGACCTCAGTCCATAAGGAAATGGATTACAATTCCTGTGGCAGAAAGAAACATGAACACTGGGGAAATAAACTAGAATGTGGAATGAGAACACAAGTGTTAGTGGATTTGCCTTCTAGTCCCTAACATCCTCTGCCAGCACTTGTCAGTAGAGTAACCTTTTGGGGGTAAATGGAGCATACTGAGACCCAAGCTATTTCCTGGTGAAGGATGTGACAGCCAGCTCTGTTTCAGAGACTTGGAACTGACTACGGCAGGCGCACTTTACTGTAGCAAACTAAAAGAAATCAAGTAGACTGGCACTACCTAGTCATCTCCTGTTTACATGGCCCAAGATGTCCTGCAGGTGCCATGCACTGATGTTTCTCTACACAACTCTAAAGCTTTATAGACTTACTCTGTGTCTCGCAGGAAGAAGATTTACAGGAGATGGAAGATTCAGCTAAGAAAATGGAAACTCAGTTTGGTCAATACTTTGATCAAGTGATTGTGAATGACAATTTGCAAGAAGCATCTGCGCAGCTGCTGTCTGCAGTCCATAGTGCACAGGATGAGCCCCAGTGGGTCCCTGCGGTATGGATCTGCTCAGACACTCAGCCCTAATTCTGAGCAGCAGGCAGCTTCAGAAAGATTACAACTTATGTTTTACTTCAAGAATATTCCTAATGTCAGGATTGCAAGAATTTATCTTTGTATGTGAAGGATCTGGAAGAGGATTAGGAAAGAAGGTGCTAGAAGAGATATAATAGTACTACGTTCTGTGTAGCTCTTCAGTTTTTTGTTACAGTTGCATCCACTTCTGTACAAAAAATGAAATATTGTGAGTGCTCAATTACAAGAATAAAGAAAAATCTATTTTGTTGCACGTATCTGCATGATTTACTTGTACAAAGCTCTGGAAAAGCCCTTTTTATTATGATCATTCTGGTACTGATACCTGTATATTCTGGAAGCCTTACTGACAAACACTATCCACTCAATATTCAGTCCAGAGCATGCTCTTTTAGCATGCTATCTTCAAGAAAAAAGTGTTATTTGGGAAGTTAGTGGTTTGCTGCTTATCCTTTTTAACTTTTAAGACAGGAGCAGAGTGGTGTTCTCACAATAAAAATTATTATAGAAACCACAGTTATCTTCACAATAAAAGTAGCATGTCTTTTCTTTTGTTCTATTAAGTGAGTAAAAACTGACAGAATATGGACTTACCAAAGAGGGAGATAAAGTCCAAGTCCCTCTTCTTACAGGTTTGCGCTGTGGTAGCATCAAATGGTGCAGTGCTTGTAGCAAACGTTTCTCACTCTTCACCTCGTATTTCAGCTGTGTTGACCCCTGAAGAACACAGGTGATTAGTCTGTTGGCCTACCTCAGCTTGGAGGAAAAGCAACAAAAGCAATTTAAAGAGTCTAGAAAGAGGTTATTCAAAGCCTAATATCGCAGCTACCACCCTACCTCCTCCTCCTGAAGTATCTGTGTTTACAGGTATAATGGGAGACACCCGAATCCCAACACAGCACTGGTGTGGAGGGTGAGACTGGTGCCAGCTGTCTCACGTTTGCTGCCTACCCCAGCATTTTTCCACTTTCTCCTTTCCTCTTTTTCATGTCTTTGTTTACAGGCAGAGCTGCTTTGACTGTTAGAAAACTAAGATGTTCTCATGAGAACTGTGTTTGTTTCATTTCTGTTCATCCCGGAACAAAACTTTGTCACATTTTCTAATTCCCTCCCGCCCCTCCTCTTTACTCTCTAGGACTTCATTTTGTAGCCTCTGTCCGTGGCTACAAGCTAAAGGAGGCTAGAAATCTTCTACTAGTGCTGTGCATTTGTTTTTGCTCGGCTGCAGCCCGAGGCAGGCAGATTCCCGCCCCCCCAGCAGCCGGTCTCTCAGCGTTGCGGTGGGGCGGAGCCGCTGGAGGGGATGGAGACCTCCGTGGGAAATGGGGGCCGGGCCTCTCCGCCGCTGGGGGGGCCGCAGCCCCGGCGCGGGGCGGTACCGAGCGCCGGCTCCTCCCCGCGGCGCCCGGGAGACCGGCGGCGGCGGCGGGCGAGGGATGGCGGCGCGGCGGGCGGGCCCCGGCGCGGTGAGGGCGCGGAGAGGCTGGGGCCGGGGCGGGCGGGGGGGTGGCTCTGCCCGCGGCGGGTTTGCGGGGCCGCCTCCGGAGGGGAGCGGGCGGGAAAGCGGCGGTGGCCCCGCGGCGCTGCAGCCCGGGGAGCCCGGCTGCGAGCACCGGCGGCGGCGGAACCTTGGTCCGTTCGGAGCGCTGTTGCTGAGGAGTTGTACCGGGGCTGTGGGCGGCAGCAAGCGCTGCCGGGGAGACGGATCTGAAGCACGCCGCGGGAGCGGGGCGCCCCGGCAGCGCCGCTCCTCCACCCCCGCTCCGTGCGGGACGTGGCGGTGCCCGCCCTGTGCTGCCAGTGCCCGCGGGATCGCACGCCTCTGCTCATCTTTTGCTGGGGGCGCAAGCAAGTATTTCCTCATTGTTTTCACATTTTCATCCATATATGTATTAAAAAAAAAATATGCAGAGCTTTAAATCTATAAATAATGGTTAAATGTTTTTAAACCGTCGAGTTTGTGTGTTAACTGCTCTCTCGGTACCACCTCAGAGGGCTGGTGATGGCCACTCAACTCACTGCACTTGGGGAGTAAATACATCTGCTCACTGCAGTTTCATATAAGCCATGCTTACAAGACATTTTCTGTTCTGCATCCTTGAATAGATACCCAGAGCATTAAGTAGTTTGTTTTTTTTCCCCGAGTTGGGAGTTTCTGAGCATGTCCCACTGTTCTATGGCCTGGCCCATCTGTGCAAACACGGTTTCACAGAGGCAGCAGCTCCCTGGTTAGCGGGAGTCTCATGGCTTCAAGGGCACTATGGCTACATTGGCCCTCAGCAGCAATTCTGTCAGTAGTGAAATGTCCCAGGAAACCTGTGCCCAAACTCACCCTTTCAGTGGAGCCTGGAGTGAGTTCCTTCAGACACTGAGAAACTGGAAACTAATGGAGTAAAGCTGGTGTGGTAGAGTTGGGGACTTTCACACAGATGAGACGGGTGTCTACCTGTGTAAATGGCACTTGCTGTCAGTCTTCAGCATGGCCAAAATCCAAGTGAGAGATTTGAGACCTAATCCTGCAAACCCTTGCACAAGGTGTCTCATTTGTTTTGGGTAAACAAACCTAAGTAGAAGTTGCTCACTGGAACCTGTACCAGTATACTGAGTTACAGGTTATTCAGTGCAAGTAACGTTTGCTGACATGGAACAAACTGCCATTGTTTCAAATGGCAGTAGTACTGGGTCCTAACCCAGGGGCAGGAAGGTTCACATCCAGCTAATCCTGCCTGCTAGAAGCTTATTTTTAGTTCGGAATTAGCTGAGGTTCAGCATGAGCAGCGTGAGGTAGTACAGACTGGTTCACAGTGCCTCTTTCAGGGAACAGCTTCAAATGATATGGGAAAGAAACAAGTGGTAAGTTTGTGGATCCTTGAGTCTTACAGCCTTTTTTATTTCTGATATCAACTGAAGTTTTGGAGTGTGGGAAATATTTATTTGTGTATACTCTTTCAATATAATTATATAACAAAATCTGAAAGTAAACTACCTTTTTTTTATATGAAATTGCAAGATCTCAGTTTCAGATTGTTAACAGGAGATACTTTCTGATTTTATTTATGTTTGATCTGCTGGTAAATATTTTAAAAATTATATGAAAGTTAATGCTTTTTCATATTTAAAAGTCTTTTTCATAAATAAGCTTATTTCCTTTTACTGCTTTTACTACTGTTCTGAATTTACAGCTTCACTAATAGAAAATACTCAGCTCACACTGTATACTGTTTAAGTATATTGAATAAATAAATTATTGCAGTATTTTGATACTTAAATAGAATGACTGATAAGCTTTCCAATTAAAGCAGTACCTTACATGAAAAGTGAAAATTACTCAAGTGAAGTTGGAATGCAAGCTGCATCTAACGCACAGCTGTTTGGTACATGTCCCTAGTGCAGTACCCATCAGAACTCTGGTAAAAGCATATTATTCCTGTGTCTTTTACATACTACTTTTATGTAACATCTCCATTAGGAAGCTCTAGCTATTTAAGAGACATGTGGAGCAAAACATGCTTAGTGTATTCTGACCATATCTGTAAACAGCTGTTTACCAAGAGATGGTTTCACACTGACAGAAGGTGACTTTTGTCTCTCTCTCATCTTTCAGTGCCCACCTCGTGCCCTCCCTCCAGTGCCAAGGTAAAATCAGTTAATTCTCTGGAACTGAGCATGGTTCTTTACTGTAGTGTTTTTAAAAGTAATTAAGATAAGTAAGTTTCATAAACATCTGAGTAGATGCAACAGCTTTAAGAAGAATTGCTTTTCTTGTTAATTTGTTGTCTCAGAACTCCTTACAAGGAATACAAAGCATTTTAAAGTTTTACAGGGGCCAAGAAATTTTACTAAACTACCTCAGATTTAATACTCTTCGAGATAAACCCTTTAAAAAGTTTTGGACATCTACTTTAGTTTTATTGATGTCCTTCTTTTCAATCTCTTCTTCCTTCCCTCTTCATTTTATTTCATGTTCTTTAGTTTATTTGAATCACAAATCCTTCAGGAATTTCTGAACTTAAATTAGATATTCTTGAATATGGTTATAGGTGTCTACTAGTTGAACACAGTATGGAGAAAAATTGGATCTTTTTTTTTCAGTGTGGAAGGAAAGGCATTTTTATAGTTTTTATGACGTGGTATTTTAGAGTTCCTTCAAAGTACCAAAAAGAGAATGTGATCTTCATGATTGACGACATCTAAAGATAGTGTCTTCTTAGTAATGTATGTGCTCAAATGTTTCATAACTTCTGTTGGTTTGTTACATATCAGGCAGTGAGACAAGCTTTAATTAGCCAGGTGATTAAAGCTTTTATCTGATCCACAGCTAGCCAATCAAGAAACTGCATAGTCACAAATGAAGAGTTGAGTCTTTATGATTGCTTCATAGCCTTAACCCTGTTGTACATAACTGCTCGTAAAGAGAACTAGGAGTGGGGTAAGGAAACGAATCACAAAAGCAGCAGTGTCATTTTCACTGTTGTGCATTGTAATTGATTTGAAATTAACTTTCTTCTCGTCTTTCTTCCTTTTATGCTGCTCTTCAACACTTTTTGCCTTAAATGTGAAGTGGAAACCAAGGTGAGTTTTCTGGCATTAAAAAGAATAATAAACATTGGTAATTCCTTTCAGTGTCACTTCATCCTCTCTTTAAAGGTAGAGCCTTACTCTTTTCCTAAATGCAGGCTGATTATTTAAACTGCATGGATCCCTGCACTGTCATTGCTAGAACTGTCGTTTTAGTTTGTTCTCTACTGTTTGCTATTTCCATACCAAATGAAGGTAACTGAAATGTTGTCACTATGCTCTAAACAAGAAGTTTATTCTTCAGAGCATTTCAGTGTATTTCAGTTTTTCATTTAACACATGTGCATATGTGTATTTAGCCTCTGTTGCACTTAAGACAGATGTCTTGCCTTGTTTTCTTGTCATCTTCTATACCCCTCCTGCCTGTGTGAACTGGTGAATTGTCATCTTACCTGTAAAAGGTGAAGGATGTCTTCACTTGTAAATTGGAATCCCTAAGTATCAATAGAATGGCTGTTAAGGAAAAGGACATGAAGATTTCTCCATGCTGTGCACCTATGCTTCTGTTTTATGTTTTGCAGATGAAATTCCACTCAGTCGTCCCAAAAAAAGGAAACCCAAAGGAAAGACTCCGTTAGGTAAGGTCCTGAAGACTGAAAGCTGTATTTGTAAACCTCGTTTGTAATCCTGACAGATCTGTGGTTTTCAGTCTTGTACTCAATTTCTTAGCAGTGTTCTCAGATAATTTATTACAGTTATTTTATACTGAATGCGTGCCATCTTTTTCCCAAAAGAGATGTTATTTTAGAGTAAGTCTGTAATGGAACTGAAGTAGATTGTTCGATCCTCTGCTCTTTCTCCCTAGATCCATTCCCAGTACTGCTAATACAGCATGTCTTGATACTGAACTGAAAAAATCCTTTATTCATGCTATTTGTTTCTTTCTGAAATTTTTGGATACTTCATTAAATAGTCATTTCCAGCTGTAAGCTGCTTGTGATGTTGAATGTGTTAAGTGCTTGAATTTTTGAATGAACTAAGATAAAACTCATTTAACAAACTGGCTAAATTTCAGTCCTTGGCCAAATAAAGTCACAAATTAATCATTCCATTATCATTGAAGAGTTAAGAGCCTAAAAAGTTACTCGCACCAGAGCTTTGTATTTTTACAAGAAACAGTGCAGAACAAACATACTGTTTTAAACAAGATTACAAGTCTGATCTATTTTGATAAAGGAAAATATATTGATAGAATCTACTAGATATCTGTAAACCAGTTGACTTGTGTTCATATGATGGTTTGATGAGTAAACTTCCTTTATTTCCTTAAAAGAGTGTACAACTGAGGCCTCACTTTAAATGCGGCAAGTAGAGCTGTTGCTAGCAGTGTTTCCCAAGGATCAAGTTTTACTTACTGTTGTGTTCAGTGGCCATTACTTTGGCGGCTAATTTTGCATTTTAGCACCTCAAAGCTTTATAAAAGATGGGAAAAGCTGTGCTTGAAGTGAAAGCAAATATAGATTGCAGTTGTTGTTATAAAACTGCAGTACTTGAAAGAGCTATAAAAAGGCAGATGTGGTGGAAAATGGAGAAGTAACTTTGTCTTCTGATCATACAAATTCATGCTACTGCTGCTGCTAGAATATTTGATTAATTTATGTTGACCTTTCACAGAAATGTAGTTCCTCCAGAGCATAGTAATTCGTCTCTCAGACTGGAGTAAACATCCTTCAGTGTTTGTTTTTTTCTGCTCCTCCTTTATTCTTGTGGTGTATGTTTAGCATTTAAATTTCCCTTTGATATGACACTATTTTGCTTTAGCATGTATCTGTGTGAATCAGCTTGTAACAAAATACTATTTTTTTTTTGTCCTTTGCATTATAATGTGCATGTAGAAAGGAAAAATATAGAGGTATCGTTCTCTCCTGTGGTAGGATTTTTTTCTATCAGTCCTCTGTTGTATGCCCAAATGGGAATTGTACTACTTCTTGGATACTTAAATTTCCTTCTGGGCATGAAACTGTCACGGTGAAAGGAGAGTTATTATTTATCTCCTTGTATATTCTTATCACATTTGTTTCCCAACTCTTGTATTTCCTAGCCAGTACATTTTCCATCTCAGCTGTAAGATGGGCAAATACAGATGTTCTGCACAATGTAGCAAAAGGCAGCTTTTTCTTCCATTTTTCTCAGCAGAACTGAATTAAGGTTCCTGGATCTTTTAATCTTGTTTTCAGATGGCATTGTCCAAGCAGCAGTTCGTCGGCAATCTGAAAGCAGTGAGCCCCTAACTCCTGAACCTCATGATGTCCCTCCTCAGAGGAAACGCAAGAAGAAGAAAGTACCTACTGGTACGTAAAATAATTGTACATTAGAAAGAACACTGAATAAAACTTGGCCAATCATATTTCTGTGTTACCAACTTGTATTTTCAGCTTTTGTGCTTACAACAGCTAAAAGTAATCTCTGAGTGAATGGTAGTTTAGAGTTTCAATTTCTGATTTCAGATTCCATACGGTACAAACTCTTATACAAATAATGGCAATACTGTTTTAGAAATGATAAAAAAGATCATGTATACTATTAAAAGCTCAGAAGATCATCACTGTTGTGCCACTGTGTTTACATAATAGCTATTTATGTATTGAAGTGAATGTATTTCCATTTTTATGAAAGCTGTAAAACTTCCATGTGGTTTATTTTAAATCTTCAGATTCTGAGACCTCTTTTACCCAGCAAAATGTTACATCCCTATTTCAGAATGGAAATGACATGGATGTCCCTGAAGCTGAAGAAACAGTGATCCGCAAACAGAGAAAAAGAACCAAGTGAGACAAAAGTAGTATAGCTCATAATTTGAAATAACTGTGACAGTGAATGTGGCTGAGTGATATTTTACATTGTCATATTACAAAACCATAAAATCTTGAAGCCCATGATACTGTTCAGCCTATGCAATAAATAGTATGTATGCAATTCTTTCCAGGGTTAAGATCTAATGTTCTTCACTTGTTCATTTTGCACACGGGGATGCATTACAGTTCTGAATACATTTACATGAGTCTAATATTTTGGTCACATACATGAAAAAATTAGAATGTGTAACTGCTTGCTTTCATTCTTAATACTATGAGAACCAATTGCTTTCTCATCCTTTTTACTTGTCTTTTCTCCAAGAACTATGCCTTTAAATCATTTTAGTTGCCTTTCTACCAAAAGCATCCAGTTTCTTGGCCTTGCATTTAGTTTGTATATTTTTTTTCTAATTCTTAATCTCTTGATAAGTATTTCTTCCCACCTTACTGTTTTGAAACAGGAAAGAATTGAAATAGAGAGGAAAAACCCCAAAATCGGTGATTAGCTTTATGGTTTTGGTTAACTAACTCCATGAGAACTTTAGTCCTTAAAATTATATACTGGGGTAGTATTACACAGGCCCATAGCCTGATCAGTTCTTACTAGTCAAGTTAGACATGTTACATGTTCATAGGAGCCTTCAGGTTTACATTTTACTTCCTCTTCTTTCTCTGCCCCATTGTATGTTCTGTGCTGACAGGAAACCTCGGCCAGCCGAAATGCACTGTTCCAATGAGCTGGAAGTAGAGGAGGAAGACATCATTGAAGATGAGCACATAAAAAGCCCGGATCAGCAGCCTGTGTTTGCTGCTCCCACTGGAATTAGCCAGCCTGTTAGCAAAGTGTTTGTTGAAAAAAATCGTAAGTACATCTTGTGATTTAAGTAATTTAAGGACATTCTTGCAATTAGAGGAAGCATTATTGTATATAAAATCCAAACACAGCAGTATCGGGAATAATTGACAAAAAGTTTTCCAGAACAAAAATTATTTGGAAATAAATATACATGATAATTTTTCAACAGTGAATGTTAGTGTTGCTGTGCTGGCTTGTTTGGTTGAATTTTTTAATTCCATGATGTGGATGAAAAAGGCAGTTTGACAGTACTTAGGTGAGGTTATTTGACCTAATACTGTCATAGTATCTTGAGAAGAAAATATAATTTACTATATTGCAAAAAAGTCTTTCAAGTGGGAGTTTTTGGTTTGGGGTTGTTTTTTTTTGGTACCAGGGAACACTGAGTGATTACCCAAAGTGCTTTGCACATTCTTTAATCCAAGCCTGACCCAGGAGGATGCATCACACTGACAGGCATCCTGGTATGCATGTAAGCTGACAAAGGGTAGGAAGTGGGGAGAAGAAACTTCCTGTTGAAGCTTCTGACACAGCTTTTTAACACTAATAAATATTAATGTAGAAATGATGATGGAAGGTAACAGCACTGTGTAAAACTAATTTCCTCATTCTTTCAGGGCGTTTTCAGGCAGCTGACCGTGCAGAATTGATTAAAACCACTGAAAATATCAATGTACTTATGGATGTGAAGGCTTCATGGACTACCAGAGATGTCGCCCTCTCAGTGCACCGAAGTTTCAGGTGAAAGATAAATGTTTTGATCTAAATAAGCAGATACCAGGACTGGAGTTTTGCTTTTTTTCTTCTCTCTGAAAGTTAGCACCTTTTCTTTATCATTATGATGTATCTTTCTTTCTTTTGGATATTCCTGATAAATGGTGGTTTGAGATGCAGCAGGTATAAAGCTTCTCAGTCCTCTAGGTTTTGGTATTTGTTGTGAAGAATATCTATTTCTAGTCTAGACCTCACAGGTGAATTGCAGCTTATAAAAAGGACAACTAAGGAAAGCATGTTGCAGAGATTCAGACAAAATCTGAATAGCAAGAGATTGATCTGGTAACAAAAATATTAGAGACCTACAGAAAAAATGTGTTAGAAAATGAGATTCATCCATCAGCTATGTGACTAGAATAAAAATACCTGAATTTAGATATTTCTCAAAGAAAAATCATTGGTGAAAAAGAGGGAGGAGTGAAATTGGACTGATGCATAAGCTTGCACACAATAGCAAAAAATGACTATTTTTTTAAAATACGTGGTCATGTTGTGATACAGAATGGGAAGATGACAGCCATTTTCTTCTCTGGTGTATTTTATCTGGAAGCCTGCGCTTCCTTCTCAGCTTTTTCATAGCAAGGAAGATAATTAAAAGACTGACTCAGGGACAAGTTTAAGAGCATTGTGTAAGGGGCAGTGATCTTGGGAAGCTACAGGCAGCAAGTGAAAGTACTGGATTCCTGTAGCAGTAATGAAGTGAAGAAATACGATCAGGCAAAACAACATCTTGGTTCTCTTTGTTAAATGCTCAGGTTATGGTGCAGTCTGTCAAGGGAGGAAACAGAAGTCCTGTTACTGAGAATTTTTAAAACTAGATCATAAAAAGCACTCAGAAACAATCTGTGAAAGGCTGGGATCCTATCACTGCATCAGGGTTGAACAGATGGATTCACAGGCCTTTTCTATCTGTAGTACTTTGCCAGTTCAAGATGTTAAACTTGTCTAATGTTCTTTTCTCTATTCAGGGTGATTGGACTCTTTACCCATGGCTTCCTCGCTGGATATGCTGTATGGAATATCATTGTAATCTACATTTTGGCAGGAAATCAGCTTTCCACAGTTTCTAACCTGCTTGAGCAGTATAAGACACTAGCATACCCAGCTCAAAGTTTGTTCTACTTGTTGCTGTCTATCAGTACAGTCTCAGCCTTTGACAGGTAAAATACGTTTTTATTTGAAATGTGTATGTAATTTGTGAACAATATTTTCCTTGCTCCTTCCTATGGCACATTTTGATCTGCTGTTGATGATTTAATATGATATACTTAAAGAATGATTTTACACATGGCTGGATATACAGATTAAGGGTGTGCTTACGCATTCAAATCTCTGTTGCTTGTTTCTGCCCATTGCCTGCAGCCTTGCTTCAATGTGCTGGTGCTGTCTGCATGATCATGAGGTGAACCAGATGGAAGAGCTGACCTGTTTTGTTTTGTTTTGGTTTGGTTTGGTTTTTTTGTGAGGGAGAGGGGTGGAGAACAGCTAATGTTTCTGTCAGGTTACTTTTCCTGTGAATCCATTCCCCAGTCAGATTTGCAACATAGCTGTGTAAACAGTTTTCCTGGCTTAGCTGGGGTTTATGCATTGCAGCTTAAAAGTGAGAACGAACAGAAAGAGGAGCAAAAAAGACCACAAACAGAGTAGATTCACAGATGTTACAGATGTTTCTTTTAGTTACAGATAGTTTCCGTGGCAGCATAAGCCAGGGGAGGAGTTGGTGGTATGGAAGAAATTCTGAATTTTTCCATGAAGCAGTGGCAGGGAGGAGACCCGAGTTAGTATACCTCAGTTGGTGGTATGGATGCTGAAATGAATGGTAAGGATTAGAGAGGGGACAAAGCTCTCCACATTCTCCCTGCTCCAGAAAGGACTGCAGCATGAAAGCTACAGACCTCATGGAACATCCTCCTTAGTTTCAGTCTTGCTTGAATTTGGCACAATAAGGACCATTGCTGTGTGTGTAGAATATAGTTGTGTATTAAGGCACTGTAACAGAGGCAGAAAAAGGTGTCTTGCAAAAAGAACAACAGAGTGCTGTTAGAGGAACAGTATTCTTACTGGGCTGTGTTAATGACTTTTGTTTTTGTTATCAGGATTGATTTGGCAAAAGCATCAGTTGCACTGAGGGGCTTTCTTACCCTGGACCCAGCAGCAGTAGCCTCTTTCTGTAAGTATTCTGAAGCAGATAGGAAGTTGTCCAGAAAAAAATGTAAATGGAAAAATCCTAAATACTGTTTTCAGTGAAATTTTCCTCCCTGGTTATTTTCTGCTTTAGAATAAGCTCAGTAGTTGAAAATAGTATTCAAAGGCTAGGAACACTTTGCTACATATTTTTTTTAAAGCATTTGCAATAGTAGCATTAGTGGGGCTGTTAGTTCTTTTCCGACAACACAGACCTAGCAGAAAACAGAATCACAAGATGCTGCCTTTGATTATGCTGATGGATTGCAAAAGTGCAGAAACCAGATTTTGATGGGTCAGAGGAATATTGAAGAAGAGAGAATGAATTAAAGGAGACTATCACTGGAGGCAGTGGAGTGAAAAGGAAGAAAATGTAGTGGTAATTATCATGTCATGATGAGACAGCATTTTGGGGGTTTATATCTGACAGTACTTAATTCCATTTCTTCCAGTGTACTTTGCTGCACTTATCTTATCCTTAAGCCAGCAGATGACATGCGACAGAATTAACCTCTACACATCACCCTCGGAAAATGGCAGCATCTGGTAAGAAACTTAAGAAATCACTTCTGTGAATTGTAACATAGCTCACTTAGGAACCTTAGTCACATCGGTGGATTGGAAAGGTTGTACAAGCTATATAAGAAAGTATTAATGAAGGATTTCATTACTAAATCTGCCTTTGTCTGAGTTTGTCCTGAATCTTTGATAATTTCACTGAAAAATGAGAACTTGGATGGATTGAGTCATGTTGGTCACAAATTCATTACACCTCAAGCAAGAGCCTGTTGGAATGATGCTGAAAATGTCATCTGGCAGGGACCCTATGAATCTCTTTTGCTGTAGAAATGGGACCCTACTGGGGTAACCCTTTTGTGTTCAAAGGCATGACATTCTGTAGAGAGTCAACACTCTTCTTGAAGGAAGTAGTCTAATCTGCCCAAGATATTAATGTCATGGTATTATGAAAAACTGATATGTCTGCCACAGGATGCAAGGACTTAGCAGACACAACTGGCATTAAACATGAAATACTGTTTCATGCCAGGAGATCTCATCCAAAACTGTTACTTTCTGAAGTAGGTATTTAATAGACTTAAACTTTAGTAGCACAAGTTTTTAAAATAGACCAGAAGTAGAATAGAAGCATTTATATGAATATTTTCTGGTTTGGGCAGTTAGATATTTTTCCTTTTTTGTAGAGCTTCTATAAATGTTTGTTGTTTATTAAAAAGCCTAGATTCTACTCACAAAACCACAATCTGCTGCTGTTAAAACAGTAAGAAAAGTGTCAGCTAACTTAAATAATAACCATCTTAAAGCCCTATCTCATCCACCCCACAGCATCTGTACAAAAGTCCTTGCACTGGCTTCCAGACAGACTTTATTGACTTGCTGTTCACTTTCCTTGCTGTCTCAGGAGGAAGTGCTTAGAAGTATGATTGACTGATGACATTGTGCGGTGTCTTTCACCACAGTAAAATTTGACCACACATTTTGATTTTTACTTTCTGTCTCTTGGCCAATAAAATGAATTTGCTGTTGAAATCTACAGGTGAACACTCTCTATGAGACAATGGGGTTTCTTAGTTGAGTCACTGTCTTTGGTAGTCACTCTCTTTACCAGCCCTTGGCAATGCATGATCATCGGGATGATACAAGTAATTCTGTTTCACATCTGGCTTAGCAAGCTTGTTTTCATGATACTGTCTTGAAATTACTATTGTAACCTGTATGTACTGGCAAACCCCTAACTGCTGGGTCGATGTGCTTTTCCTAGGGTGGCAGGTATGGAGGAAGAAATTGTTCAGCCATGGGTTGTGGTGAATCTGGTAGTGTCTATTTTAGTTGGGACAAGTTGGATCTTCTTGTCTTACAGACCAGAACTAGACCACGGTGAAGGTAGGAAACATTAACAGGCAAAATGTTTATTCAGGCTTCTATTTGCTGTGCTTTGCATTTGGTGTTCAAGATTAGTCCTGAGAAATTTTATGGCTGAGGGGAAACAAGTATCTCCTACCAGCTTTCCAAAGCAAGTGCTTCTTAGGATGTTGGTGTCTGTGTTTGGTTTTATAAAGAAAAAAAAGCCTTGTTTTCCCTGGCTGAAGCAACATGAATTTTGAAACATGAGAGAGCATGCGTTTCTTCTTCACTGAAAGGAAAAATAATTTTCACTTCAACAGTATTTTGAACATTTGAAATGTATTTATTCTGCTTGTGTTTTAGAAAATTCCCTAATGTCATTAATGTTCCTTTTGCAAATGCTGAATGCGTTTCGAGTTCAGTACTATTTGCAGTAGAACATTGCAGTAGTTTTGGGAATCTGAGCTTTGAAAAGTCAGATTTGTGCTTGCAGAACAGGACTTCAAATGAGGACTGCTTGTGTTGGTCCAGGCTGGAGGAGGGTACAAGCAAGTCGTCCCCTTTTCTTAGAAGAAACTTTGCTAGAGACTAGGTCTTCTTCCTTTTCTTGTTTCAACTGTGATCCAAAAGGTGTATCATAACTCAGCTTTCCTGTGAAGCACATGCTGCCTTGTAACTTGAAGTTGTGCTCTATGTAAAAATCATTGTTTCAACTTACAAGTCAACAGGTATACAAAGAGCGTAATGAGTTGAAGAATAGATTTGTGTTTGGAAGGCTGAAGAAGATTCAACGTGCTTCTTCAGATTACTTTCAAATTTTAATATACAGATTACTGTATTTCAGCTGGCCCCTCTTAATCTGCTTATTTCTAATAACTCAGTGATTTAAGAAAACCCACTCTAGGTGGCAGCCTTTACAATCTTTGATGGTAAAATTTAGAATAGATGTTTAAATTGTATTTAAAATCCATTTTTAAAATAATTAAGACTTATTCAAGGAAGACAGTGGCAGGATTTAACTCCGGTTTTGGTGAGCTTTTTTAATATTTACATGTGCCTACTAAGATTAGAAAACCTGCTTCAGAAATTTCAAGATAGAAATTCTGTTAGGACTTATCCCAAATAGTAGAGAAGGCTTAGTCTGCTAAGGATAAGGTAGCAAAAGCATGTGAATCTCAAACTTGAGTGGATAATCCACATTGTTGCGTGTACTTGTGTAACTTTACTGTGTTGACAAATTGTTGGCAAACACAGCCTGGTCTCTATGCTGAATGTGCTGTTAGCAAGACAGAAAGTACACCTACCCTGATGGTGCTGTGTAGGTACATAAGGGAACCCAGGTACAAGAAAACTCTACCCTCAGCAGCACAGAGCTCCACAAGGGCTACCTCATCAGCTACGTAGCGTGCCCAGCTGAATTTCTCTGCAAGGACCTCTTTGCTGCTGACCTTAGGCTGTCTCCCGTGCCTGAGCTGCTGTGGCAACAGCTAGCTGTGAGCAAAATCATTCATGATTCTTTCTGTCCCAGTTTCTAGTGTTGCTAACTTACACTGTGATACATAGAGCAGATATATATCCATAAATGAATGAGTCTTTAAACAAAAATCTTCCTCCTTTAGTCTGACACTCTCAGAACTTAAACAATCCCTCAATCTACTTTAGAATTCTATTTCAGTGTCCAGGTTGAGTGCAGGATGATACTACATATGATAATCACTAACATCACTGCTAATTCTGTTAATTTTGGAGGACAACTATAAAAACAGTGGTGGCCCTTGCCATTGCTGAGTTGTTGATACTATGATTTGGAAGAAAAACATGAGGCTTGGGGGAATGCGAGAGCACTTTTCAAGAGTAATTAAACTGTATTGAGGTGAAACTTTTAAAAGAAAACATAATTCTTTTCTTTTTTAGAACTGATGTTTCATGCTGAAATTGAAGAATTTCCCCAGGGAGATATCATACCCAGAGTCCAGCCATAGTGTGGAACAAGCATCTGCAAATACTGTAGCTGTGACCGATGGCTCAACATGTTGTGTATTATAGCCATGTATAATAACCTTCATAAAGAAAAAAATGTTTTTTTATATTTTATATATTTTATTTTGATCTTTTTATGTATGCTACAATTTCCAAATGTGATTGAAAACTTTTATACTTTTGCTTTTTATTTTACAAAGTAGATTATCTCTAGTGCATAAAGTCAGGATGATCTTATAAATATTGCTACCTATGTAGCCAAAGAAACTAGATGGATGCAGAAGATCCAGTGTTTTTTTTTGATTGCTGTTCAGTCTTACACAACCTGCTTTTGTTACTAATGCTGATAGCAGTTGGCTTACTTGATTTGGCTAAATATTCTCTAGACATTAAAACAAATCTTATGAAGAAAGTAGTCTAAGGAAGATTATAAAAAAACAGAGTAAGGAAACCTAATACAAAGTTAGCAAGCATAAAATAATCTGGATTTAGTTGTCATAAAAAGTATTTGCTAGAATAAGAGATTGGATTGTCAGGGATTTTGTTTAATAATTCCTTAGAAGAGGACACTTCATTTAGTTCTCTTGACGAAGATCTTGATGATAACAAGTTCTTTCTAGTTGATGTGGATACAAGAAACAGAAATTTTAATGTTGCAACAATTTGGATAGCTATTGAATACCTAAATACATCTTTTAATCAAGCAGTTTGGTTTCGGATTGCTAACAGGACATATGTACATCCTGTAATTTCTCAGTGGTCAGAAAATAAAACTATTACAAAGCCATTCACAGGAATAGTGTTATGATTTATCTTTATCTTGTATGTCAAGAGTAATAGTGTTATTCACTGCTCTTTCTAAAGAAACTTGGATTTCACAGCTGTTAAAAATGTTCCTACTTCTGCATATTTTGATGGAGATTGATTGCCCCCAAAAGGATGTATGTTGTTTTGTGTCAGGATGAAATGGAAAACTTATGAAAATTACAAGAAAATGCCTACCAAAGCAAAAAAAACCTCTGAAGCAACCCATCTTCTATGTAGTGATGTAATAGTGGCAGTTGGTGGGTTTTGATAATGATAGCCAGCATTCTTTTTCTCATATTAAAGCGGCAAAATGAAAGCACTGCATATGTGAATAAATATAGATGTATTGCAGGATGAAACAGTCTCCTTAAGAGAGATAAACAAAAGCTAGTTTGAAATCTATTTCTAAAAAAAGTATATGCCTAAAGACCCAAACCTATTTGTATATGTTATTTATTATGTATTGATTCTGTGCTGTTTTATTTAATGTGTGTGTCTTAGTGCGGTTGTAAAGGGTGTGCAGTTGTCACAGTTCCCTGGAGAATAACTGTACTTTCTAGTAGTGAGGTAAAGAGTAGCCAGATAAAAGACTTGAAGGGGGATGTTGAAGAGCCAGTAACTTTCTCTGCTGTTACCTGAGTTGCTTTAAAACAAAGATGGGAACATGAGTAACAGGCTGCTGCTGCGCTGGTAAAGACTTGCATTCTGTTATGCCCACCCAGCAGATTTAAGTAATTCAAAAATTCAGTGTTCATGACATTTTTGAAATGCTGTGGTAATTGAGGTAAAGGGGGAAGGGAAAAAAAGAATTCTACCAGAATTAACAAAATGTTCCACAGCTGTTGGCTGCATTCTAGGGCATTCACTTTGTTGTGGTAAAGAGCTGTTTAACCTTTTTTTGTAAATTATGGCTCATCTGTATGTATTTTTGCAAAACTGTAGAGCTAAACCATGGCTGGCACTGCATTGTACATTAAAATGGAGAGATTCAGGGTGCCACACCCCTTCAGTGTTGCACTGGAGGTTCTTGTCATGATTTGGCTGTAGGAGATGGAAGATGAGGCACTACTTAGTGTTTCCATGTAGGTTGCCACCACGCTTCTTCCAGGTGTGGTGTGTTTGATTTACAGAATTGTTGAGCTCCTGAAGATGAGATTAATAATGGTTTCTCATTGCTGCTTGACATTTCTGCCATTTTGGCATGGTAAGAAGTAAAATTTTGCCCGTGAAGTATGGAGCTCAGGCAAATCTGCACTGAGGCATCACATCAGTACTGGAAAAACATGAATAATATCATTGCTTAATTTCTGACATTACTAGTAGGAACTGGCCATCCAAGTATCCCTTGGACAAAGTGATGCAAGCCAAGAGCCAGATTTGTTCTCATTGTGAAATACAGTAGTTTGTTTAGATGGTTGAGTAGGGATTAAGTTAATGAACTTAATGGAATCTATACTTCAAACCAGGCTTGCCCTTCCAGTGTATCTTTTTGGGAGGGTATGAGTATATGCATTTAAATAAATGAGGTTTGAGGTTGCCATTTAAAATCACGTTAATAAACAATTTCATGGCTAATTATCTATTTTACAAAGGTACTTTTCATTCCATTAAGCCTCACAATGGAATATGAGGTTAACTGAGCTTTTTTGTTTGGTTACTTGGAAAGTTTTAGAACAAGTTTACAAAATAGATGTTTAATTACAGAACACGCAATATCTGTAGAAGCCTTAACTGAAATGCTTTTGTGCATTTCCATACCATTGTTTTTAATGTACTATTTTTGTGGTAACGAAAAAATTAGAAAGCTGTTAGTGCCAATTTCTTGGTTTTACATATATAAAACATATATGAAACAATTAAACAGCTGCTCAAAACTAGTTAAAAACTACTGTACTACTTTGTCCTGTTTCCAAATTATTAGTTTAAAATAAATGTCTTAACTTTTTTCCCCCAATGCTAATATTATGTATATTATACAAGCTCTGAATGGGTTATTATGGGAAAACATTTTCTTTATTTGTGGCAGTGTTGTAAACAATGGCTTTGCTTTTACTCCATAGATCCGGCTGCTCTACTGGTCTTTTGTGCAATCAGAAATGATACTGTAATCACCTGAAAACCAGTAAGTAAAGTGTATTTCATCAGTTAATGGTGTTTGTTGAGCCTTAAAAGAAGAATATTAAGAGTGGAAGCCGATGGCTGTCTTTAACCACCTAATGGGTGGCATTAATTTGCAAAGTGTCTTTTAAAGTTTTTTTGGTATTGCTGAGGTAAACTTCAGGAGGATTATGGTTAGGTCAGAATTACTCTTCCATATTTGCAACAGAATTAATTTAAATGACTGAAGGCTTTGGGATAAGGGAGTCAATCATTGAGTACGTATTTATTGCTAAGCCTTACCTTTCCCTTCCTTTTCCCTCATAGTGCTGTGTAAGATACTCTTGTATTCGTCCATGCAACTGTGCTTGAAGTTGGTCAGTAAATCCACAGGCACTTCGATGTAAGTCTGGTTTTTTTTTCATGAGTGTTATTAATACTCTGTGATGCCCCGGGGCTTCTCGCTCTCCTCACGGAGGGCAGGGAGGAGAGCTTCTAGCCGGGCGAGGTCCGTTGCCCTGCTGCATGAAACCCGGCGGCTGCTGCTTCTCGGACAGGTGCTTTTGGGGATATTTTTTCCCTTACCCGCCCTGTCGGGGACAAGCTGTGCGCCGTCGTCCCATCCCCGCTCCGTTTATTTACCGATCAAGCCTGGCCATTTTGTACCCCGCCGCCACCTCAGCCCGCAGCCGTTGTCCGCAGCCGTTGCCCGCCGCCCCTCGCGCCGCGCCGGCAGGAGGAGCCCCGCGCGCGGGTCGCGTGACGGCCGTTGGGGGACGGTGGCGGGGCCGCCATCTCAGACTCGGCCTGAAGGAGGCGGCCGCGGCCCCCCTCTCGCCCCCTGCTGCTCGACGCTTTCTCCCTTCTGGGCGCCGGGGAGCCGTAGCTACAGTCCCTCGACTTCAGGCCGGAGAGGGCCGAGAAGGCGGCGGCACGCTGGCCGTCGAGGCGCGGGCAGCGCCACGGGGGAGGAGGAGCCGGGCGCCGACCCGACTGGGCGCGTCAGCCGCCACAGCCGCGACGGGATCAGGCGAATGGAGGCGCTTTATCTTGCACCGCTGGGCCTGGGCACGGTCTCTCTCATACTACTGCGTGTCGTTGCAGGCTGGTGTGACTGTGAAAAGGAAGCAGGGAGGGAAGCCTGCCTGCTTAATAGATTAGTTTCCATCCCTGCCTCCCATTCTTCCCAAAGACTTCTTTCTGACTAGGAACAGAGCTGGTTTCCTCTGCCCCTTCCATCCCCCTTTATTTGGTAGTGGCAGCCGGTGCATGCCTATCCAGTAGCTTCAATCAAAACAGGAAACCCAGTCAAAAATTTCCATATGCTCCTACACAAGCAAAACCATTTGCTTTAATTCTATATTTTAAATTGATGTACTATTTTCTTCAAAATTAAGAAATTTTAAGTAGTCCTCCCTACCTAAGGCAGTTTTCTGTACTGATTTCCTGTACCGGATTCAATAAAATTGAAGTGAGTGTGGCTTTTCAGATTGATACAGGCAGGCCTCAGGCAGATGATACAGAGACAAGGGAAAAAAAAGCAAGATACAGATAAATTTCCACAACCACTGATCAAGCACTTTAATGTACTTTTGGGAAAAAAACAAACAACACCCTGACAAACAAAACCCCAAAACAAAAACCACAAAAAAAAAAAAAAAAAAAACAACTCAAAACAACCAAAAACCACTTGTGAAAAAAGAAAGGGCAAAAAAAGAAACAGCATAGTCAATAAGAGATTTTGAAATTGTTAAAAGTTATGGTAAAAGAACAAGAAGTACCTGAAGCACTGAATTCTTTCTCCATTTTAAATGCTTGTGATGCTATTATTCAAGCAGAATACCAAAATTTCCAACAAATTACCCCAAATGTGTCTTTTACAAGCAGAGCATAAGGAAAAAGAAAAGTTGCCAAGAAATCCTTACTGGAAATTGGAAGACAAGTGATGTAATAAGGCTCCTAAAAAATATGCCTTGCCATGACAGCAACATCTGGGTTAAATATTATCAAGTACAAAATTTAAGAAGGAAAAACAAACTAGTTTGAGGAAATCTAGTGATGTACAGAAAAACCATGGGAAGTATGGTGAACCTGCTCTTTCAACATCATTACATGCTGAGGGGTCCAAGGATTCAAAAATCATCTGTGTTCTCCCATAATAAGGAAAACTTGAAGCAGAAAGTGAAGCAGGAAAATAAGCATGACAGCCAGCCAAATAAATATTTCAGTAAGTCTGTAATGGCTTCATCAGCTACTGCAGAACAACAGCTTCCTCAAACCATGAAAGCATTTAAAGAAATGGTTTTCCAGATTTTACATGGGCAAAAGGAAATCTGCCTGTAAGAATATTTTTCTTTTAATTGATCACATAAAAAATATGAGAACTATAAAGGTAATTGGTATCAGAATGTAGAATAAACAAAATGAACTGTAGTAGATAAACTCAGCATTGATACTCTTGACCCATACATCATGTAGAGTAAATTTTGACAAAACAGAGGAAAACCTATGCATTCTGCCAGAAAATGTAAAGTTGCCAGCTTGAAGTTTGAGAATCAAAACATTCAAGCAGAGCAAATAGGACTTCAGGACTTTTCAGGAACTTTATGGGACTTTTGGATAAGTAACATTTATGTAACTAATTTATGGAGTTGAATCAGTTGTTTCATTTGGGAGTGATGGAGGTTTCCACAGGAACCTGTTTAAACCTAATATTGTTTCCTTCATCCTAATTAAAGTTTTTGGATAGGTTTGATTATGTTAAATAACAAATGTTACTCTGCTAGCTGGTTATTAGTAGACCACTGCAATTTTTCAGTGCTTTTTAAAAAAATCATTAAGTCTTTACTGGTTTGTTACATCAAATAGCTTTATTTCATAGTATGGTTCTTAGTCTTTTGAGGTCTCTCTCGCTGTAGGTGTTGTGTAGCATCTCTGAATTTTAGTAGTTTCTCCTCATTTGTACAGGATAGGGATGATCATCATCAGGACAGATCATTACAGCTAGCTTAGTTTTTAGAGGTTTATTAGACAACCTAATATGCTTTAGCAAAGCTACTTACTAGCATTAAAGTCAGGGTATGTAAGTCACCTACTTAGGTACCTGCCTCATGTCAGAGACATTCAGAACAATGGTTCTCAAATGTTTTGCCATTATTTTACTCATCCTCTAGGCTAAAACTGTTTTCATAGCACTTGAGGAGAAGGAGGGAGTGAGGAAAAAGAGGTAAGGTAAAACTTGATAGTATTTTTTTTAATACTTACTTTTGTTCCTTAATACCATGAAGTGGAAGAGTGTTATATCTTCAACGGATATTTATTGCATTGAGACTCATTAAAGTGAGTAGTTCATACAGCAGATCAAATTGATTCTGCATAAACCACGCTTTTTCCTGTGTTTATTCATTCAGTCACTCACTAACTGCTGTGGTATCAGAACAATACAGTAAGAAACTCAACAGCATTAAGCATTTATTCAGGATAATGCTAATTAATATAAGTTTTCTATTGTTACACATTTTATTTGGTGTTACATGCTAGCACAAAGTGGCAGCAAAAGAAAACTTGTTTTCAGAAGTATTGCAAAAGTAATCAAGCTATAAATTTGTTTTCACGTGCCGTGAGATTTTGCAAATGTGTGAAATTTTTATAAGCCCATTTGAAAATACCTCACATTGAGCCTAAATGTAAGATACAGATCTTGGAAACAACTGTATTCCACTGAAGAGCTGAAGTTTTTGCATACAGTTACTGTTTTCAAAATCTGAGATTCATGATCTGTATTGTTAAGATTCAAGTTGCAGAAACTTTCTATTCCAAGCTGATATAGTTCTAAGAACAGTAATTTTTTTAGAGTGCTTGTTTACTTACTTTTACTCATACCAATGATGTGTGTTGTCAGCATATGCTGACTCACATGCATGACCTTGCACTTGGCCTTGTTGAACTTCATGAGGTTTGCACGGGCCCACCTCTCCAGTCTCCTGTCCAGGTCCCTCTGGATGGCATCCCTTCCCTCCGGCCTGTCACCGCACCACACAGCTGCGTGTTGTCAGCAAACTTGCTGAGGGTGCCCTCGATGCCACCCTCCATGTCACCAACAAAGATGTTAAACAGCACTGACCCCTGTACTGACACCTGTCACCGCTCTCCACTTAAGCATCAAACTGCTGACTGCAACTCTTCGAGTGTGACCATCCAGACAATTCCTTATCCACTGATTCATCCATCTGTCAAATCCATATCTCTTTAATTCAGAGACGAGGATGTCATGCAAGACGTAACAACTGACATAAATATGAAACTTCTTTCCTGCAGTAACAAGAAGCTGTTAGCACCACTGGACTATGGTAAAAATAGAAGTACAAGAATTACATAAATAAATGGAGACAGATAGGGTAAGTTTACTGAAAGTTTTTTAATCAGAAGTTTCATCTATTAGGTTTTGAAATAGAGTTCTGTTCACAGCATAATGAATAGAATCACTTTTTTTTGTTAGTACTTTAATGTGGTCGTTTAGAATTTTCTGTCTGTCTCAGGCTTGCATTTTAGTCATTTGGTCTTCACAGCTTTGTAGTGAAATTGCTGGCAAAACAGAATTCTCAAGGTTGACTGCAAATCAGCTCAGCTATGGTAGACTGAATACTTAATGTAGAATGAGGTTTTGTTGAAAATTTAAAATATATCCATTTGATTTCTATTTATATATTTTTACTACAGTCAGCATTTACATCAGTAAAGTACTAGTGGCTTTGGGATACAACTTTTGCTAAAACATGAGAATATGGATCTTTTTTAAAAAGAAGCTGCTTTTGTTCAGTTTGAGGTGCCTGATAAAGTATGAGAGATGACAATTTACTGAATTGTCGGGAGAAAAAAAAAGGAAATTTTTCATATCACTTGAAAAAGATGAATTCACTAAGATCCTAAGGGTTTATTTAGGTCCTTGTTATAGATGAATCTATCCCTAGGAGTTTAACTGTGGCTTGCAGAAAAGGCTTGTTTGCCAGCAGCAGTGCCAGTGAAGCTTAATGCATGTTACCTATTCTTTTAAGAAAACAGTATTAAGTTCTGGTGGTGCATAGCAATACAGTATAAATAAAAGTATGTACAATAACTTTAGATTATTTAATATGATTCTTCAAAATTAACCCGTACCTATTGTATCTTGAGACTTACTTTGCATAGTAAGAGGTCCTCAGATTAAGTGCTAAAATGACAAAACAATAAAGGGAGATGCAAAAGCACAAATTTTTACTAAGAATGTAGACAAATACAAGAGCATGAGTCACAGTTTCAAGCAGCTTAACTTCTTTGGGAAACACACAGTATTAAAACTGCATGCAAAATGATGCATAGCTAACTTTTGGCAAGTACGACAGGTGAGAAAAATGCCTTTTGTGATGTGTGAAGAGAGAAACATTTATTTGCCTAAGCAATTAATTTGTGCAGTTTCAACTTTAGACTTGGAAGTGGAGGATTTCTCCTTACTGAAATGATTTGGGTGACATGAAAAGACAAATAGATCGTTTAAGGTCACAGAGAGAACCCAAGCCTGATTTCAGAAAGGCACATGGATTGCAGCAATAAGAGCTGAAAATACAGTATACAGTAAGATTACAGCAGGAACTCTCTTGTTAAGACATATTTTGAAAGAGGGAGATAAGCATTCAGCCATTCTCTATATACAGTTTTCCTTACAGTCAAAAAGTGAGGCACGCTGCGCTTCACGATGCCAAGAGAGGAAGTAGTTCATGAAATACGGCCACTTTAATGGCATTTTCAAGTATACCTTGTCGAACTGTATTTTAACCATACAAACTAAAGCAGCAAATACAAATCACATTTTCCTTCTTTGAAGCACAGGAGAGGTATGATTGTTTGGTATTTATTTAGAATTCCCAGTCTGTATCATCTTGATTTGCAGTAAGATGTCCAAGTTCAGTCCCAACTGCTGTTGAGGGCAGTGCCAAGAACTCTGATCTGTTATTTTGAATAGGAGGTGGTAATAGAGACAGTAGTGAATTCTGTGTTTGTTCTTTTATCTAGAAAGAAGAAAAGTTGAAACAGGGCTCCACATAAAAGTCTACATGACCTTGCATCTGACTTCATTAAAAGCATGTGAAATCAGAGCCATGTTCTTGCATGTTACAGTATTGAAAATAACGGGACAAGGGGTTTAGCTTTCCTCACTCTAGAATACGTTGAATTAGTCTTTCAAGACTAAATACATTAGCTAGGCAGTTGTTCTTCTTTAAATTAAGAATATTAATAGTTACTAGTTAGGCTGTCTTTAGTTAAGTTAAACCGACTTTATCAAAGGGGAAATGGATTACTCTTATGCTTCCTATACTCTACCAATACCATTTTATTTTTAAAAAATGTAGTGTGAAGCAGATACACTGTTACAGAATGTTTTCTGGCTCCAGCTAACTTGTTTTGTAATCCAACTAGTATTTTGTGGCTTATTTAGGTTATAGTTGTGTCATTTAACAAAATGTAGTAAACTCACCTGTTTGAAGAACGTATGCGAAAGCAAACTGCTTGCTGATGGCCTGGATCATAAAATGAACAATGTAATTATGTTTTGGAAAGTAAAATACTGCTTTTGGAAAATTGGACAGACTGAAAAATCAATTTAAGTGCTATGGTTTTTCATACACAGGACATATATGAAGCATTAAAAAAGCTGCACCGAATTCCTATATTCTGTGCCTCAATTTGTAGTGAAGGCACTACTAAGGAAATCTATTTTTAAAGGCTTTTTCACTTTTATATTTAAGAAGGAATTTAATGCCTCATTCAGAAGAGATGTAATACTGAAAAACAAGTACTTCAGATTTCTGTTTTTGTCTTGGACAAAGTGCATGTTTAAAAATGAATTTTACTTGTTATGAAGTACATCCGTATTACAAGAAAATCAGGGGTCAAATTACTTTAAAAGTATGGTTCCTTTATCAGGTAGGATAATTCTTAAATTACAGAACCAAAGGTAAGTGTAGTGTTTTGGATAGTGCTTCTGATCTGAAAGTCTGACTTTAACAGTATTCAACTAATTACTGTATCCTAAATTGTGGGCTATACTTGGTCTTAGATTGAAGCGAGTGAAAATTAGTTTTCACCAGAAGGTTACCTTTTCTCAGGGTCCTGTTGCAAGCAAAGTTCTACCAAGTTGTGGAAAGCAGGTGAAAATGTTTTGGAAAAAGGAATCTGTAGTCTTTCACTGGTCATTGTGCGTGTCATGCTCTCACCAATTCCAGAATCAACACCTGATCGGGAATTCTTCATCCTGGATTCCCCACGAGGAAAGGTATTTATATCCCACGGACAATATGTGGGACCTTTCAGCTTTTGCAACAGCATCTAGTAGAAAGGAATATAAGAGTCCCACAGCTATCCACACCTATTCAGGTTAAGCTGTGAAACTCTAGAAATGGAATGATTATTCGATCTGGAAAGAAGCATGCGTATTTGAAATAACAAAAAGCAGCCACCATTTCAGCAGTGACAGCATTGGTTTCTCCAAGTAAAATAAAAAAAGCTTGGAATGTTTTGAAGTAGAAAGAATTTAGCATCATACCTGAGTGCGAGGCATATCTTGAAATGGAACATGTCCATTGGCTAATTCACATGCTGTAATTCCCACACTGTAAATGTCAGACTTCATGTTATACCCAGACAAATCCTGTGAGAGAAACAAAACTCTACTGGATCACTGATGCCATTGAGCAGTGCTGACAAAGATACAAGTGTCGCAAGAGAAGATTCTAATACCCTGTAATGTACATAGGATTGAGTCAATTAAATTGTGAAACCTCAAGCTTTGTTAAGAAATCTGAAGTACTGAAGACAAGTTTTGGGATCTGCAGTAGTTTCCAGGAAGGTCAGGTAAAGACTTAGTACAGCACCACCTTACCAACAGCTTTAAAACCAGTTCTCTTTAGGAGACTTACAAATTCAGCACATCTATGCCTTTGTAAAAGTTGCAGTTCAACAGCTTCCACTGCACTTCTACAAGTAGACTTAAGTTAGAAATTGAGTACTTGCAGTAGCTTTCAATAGGAAAAATGAAGTGTAACTTATACTAACCTGTCTCAGTAGTTCAGGACTCAGCCAAGGAAGCACAGATGTACTAAACTGGGGGAAATCATATACCACCTTTGACTTCTGTCCATTGTTAACTAAACTGTAGAGGTTGTTTAAACCAGAGAGAGAAACCAGCCCATCCCCTGAAATCAGAATGTGGCTAGCTTTAATATTCCTGTAACATAAAGTGGTAAATTTTAGTTATAAGAATTTCTCAAAGTGCTACTAGAGTAGAAAGGCTTTCGTATTTCATTAACTTATAGTGAGATTTTATTGTGCAGTTCTGTTTAGCAGATTATTTTCATGGAAGCTGTTCACTCAGTATAAGTTGTCTTTTTAATACAGCCCCAAGAGATAAGAGAGATGATCAGCAAGAAAAATGTGCGCAAAGTTGGAGAAGGGCCCTCCTTCCCTGCAAAAGGTATAAAGTAAGGGAGCCCTTTTGACAACTCTGATTCTCTTCTGCTTCAAGGAGACAAAGCCAGACAGCTGTATAATCCCTGTAACAACTGGCTTTAAATAATGTATGAATACCATTCTTGTTAAGATTCTACAAATTTGGTTCTGCTGTATTATTGAAAAAAAATTGCTTCTGCACTATCTGACATAAAAAGGTATATAGAAAAAGAAAGGAGAAAACACTTAAGCTGAAAATTAGTTTTGAAGTGAAACTAAATTCTTAATAAACTGGATGCTGTAATCTGATTCTTACCTATGACATTCTCCTACCTGTGAATGTAGCCGTTCTGGTGCATGTAATTTAATCCTCTGATTGCACCAAACAGAATGTTCCCTATCAAAGCTTCACTCATTCCTTCAGGAAAGTAAGTCTTCAGCAGGTGTCTAGCTGAACCTGGACATGAAAAAAACCTACCTAAGCCAAACAGGTCTTGTTAAATTACTTGTCTATGCTTGCTTCATTGTATACATCCATCAAGAGCAGCATTCTTATCGTTTTATTGATTATTGTACATCAAGAACAGTTTCATGGATGCAACTGATGCATCCATCAGGCAAATATCACACTCAAGTCATGCTACTGTTAACTGAAAGTCTGTGCCAAACTGGTATCCAATCTAGACAAGTTTTCTGTTGGCAAAATCCACAACTGTAAAGTCCAATATATCTTCCAACTAACATTCCTCACATAGTGGGTGTTAAGACTAAATGCAGTTCAAATACAAGTCTTCACTGGGGAGGAAGATTGTGTACAGATCAGTTCTCTAAACAAATGGTTTGGAAAGGTTTTTTTTACTACAAGACAGGAGATGCTTGAAGAAAAACCTCTCATGGACTGCCAGACTGTATCAGCCCTTTTTCCTATTCCAAAATTGCATTTAGCAGTTCTTACCATAGGCCATGAATGGGGAGATGACCCAAAGCCAACTACCAGCTGTAAACACTGTCCAAAGAGTCATTACATTGGGATGCTGGAAAAAGTGGGATAAAACCACCTCATTCTGTGGAATGAAATAAAAGTGGATGTGTTAACCACAAGACGATAGCCTTACTAAGAGCATTAACTGCATCAGTAATCAGTAGAAAGAACTGTTCCCTGTGTGCATTTATATGAAGTTGCAGGTGATGTGCATAGCCCCCAACAGAAGTGTAAATAACTTGCCTATAATTGCATTTGTCTGAAGTAAATCTAGTTTGCTCATAGTCTGAAGTTTTGGTGTTAAATACAGAACACGTTTAAAAGAAAATGTGGTACAATTACATAAGTATTTCTAAAACACCTGTCAACTCTTCAGAAAGCAATTCTCAAATTTGCACATGCCTCATGTTTATATTTTACAACTTTGGAGGCAAAACTTGACTGAAATGACCAAGTACAAACACAAAGGCTACCTCTTTCTAGTAACCTCATATGTATTCATCACCATCTTCAGACTTGTGCAGAAATGCTGTTGCATTACCTGTAAGGCTTTCAAATGCTCTTCAGAGCAATTTTCTAGGTCTGTGATCCTTACAGCAACTTGCATGCCTGTAGGTGTATGCCGTGCAAGGTAGACTGAAGTTAAGTTGTTGAACCGCCTTCCTGAAACCAGAAGTGGCAGCCTTAACATTGGAAAATACAATGATCCACCACATAATTTCCATCATATTTAAAGATAACTTTACAGTTTAAAAATTGCAATTAATAGCAGCATAACATTTTCTTTAAGGATGTCAAGAATTTAATCAGTGTCAGTAAATTAATTAAAGCATGGCTCTGCTATTTTTAGAACAGCTAGAAGTGTTTAAACATTGGTCAGTATTAATTATACATCTAAGTGAACAACACTTCTAAGCATGCATATTCCCACAGATATATGTATGCACAGTAGGATCCAGGGCAGCCATCCTTAGAACAATCAACTCAGGTAGCCAAGTGACAAGACATGACACTACTTAATGCTGTATTTATTGTCCACATACTACTGATTTAGAAAACTGACATGCAGAAACATCAAGAGAAAAATTCATGTAATTGGTGATTTGTCTTATATCTTAAAATCAGTGATTACTGAAACATAAGCAATGTTCTGCACTTCTCTCTACTGAGGAGACACCAGAATAGCTCTAGTCAGCTGATAATACATTTTCCAAACTTAGTATTTACTGCTGTGAGCAGTAACCTATTGAGAGCATGTACCTGCAGGAACAAGAAATATTTCAATGTATACTTATGTTACCTATTTCCAGCTGGAGTTCATAGTGAGAGACATTAGAAGAGCAAAATACCATTTCATTCCTTTCTGTAGATGGGGGAATCCAGGCTAGATCAGAATCAGCCTAACAGTGAGGAAAAACAGTTCTCAAAATGACTATGTATTTTTTAAACATTTACATGCTTAAAATTAACACAGATATATAATTAATTAGAATGCTAAGATCAAGTACTCAGAATATTCAAGCTGGTGCTTTTACCATTACACTGATACTTAGTTTTATGAGCTACTAGGGCTTTTATTGTGTTTCGTTTTTAAACGGGTACAAGATTAATAGTAACAATTACCTATAGTGTCCTTCCAAAGTGGAAGCCCCAAAGTACTCTGGATATTTTTGCTGTTAACATTTTAAGAAGTACCCTCTAGTGAGATTATTTTTAATATGTACCAGTTTCATATTTAATGTTGCCAGTTAATGTTTCTATTTTATTCTTACCAGGCATTCATGGACGCTGCTCTGAGATAGCTCTTCTGGTCTGATTGATTCAACGGGTGTACGTAGAATACAGGAACAGTCCTTGAGAACAGAAACAAGTGAATGCTAGTGGAGATGCCGCAATTTATTAAATGTGGCAGTGGGAAAACATCAAGAGTAGCCCCTATAAGCACAAGTTCAGAAAGTTTTCTGCTACAAGTCAGTCAAGTAAGAGGTTAAGAAACAGCATAGAGCACGTACATGGCAGACCTAGAGAGAAGAAAAAGTAAATAGTCTCCTTCACCAAAAGTTGATGCAACAAAGTTTAAACATCTCAGCACTGTGGAAATCCTCTCAAGCAAGACATTTCACCAGAACTTTTTCACATTAAGGTATGACTGCCAAAGATTTTTACATGCAAACTTACCAAACAAGACATGGAACTGCTTTAGATCAGAGGAACAGTCATATTTATCCTAGAAAAATTAAAGTAGCAACGTAAGATCATATATAAACCTGTAATAAATATAAGTTTCTTTAACCACAACTGTAAGGCATTCCTCTCAGTTAACACACACACACAAACACGAAACTACAGCTCTGGGAAAGCCTGCTTCTATCAAGCCTTTAAGCACCATATGGATTTCAAACTCCATGGATATGCAGTATCTATTCCAACTCAAGTTTTCCTTTTTGATTCATCAGTTTACAGATGTTATTACCACTTCTGAACAAACAATTTAGTTGTGCCTTAAGTGGCAGAAAGTAAAAAGGAACAGATTCAGGAATCCCTGGCACTTTGTAGGAAAATAAATAATTGTCTGTTGTTTTAAAGGAGCACAGCTGTGCAGTCAGATCTCAGCTCAGATGTGTGTAGCTGAATTACCTCACAAAAAAGGCAAGCCAGAAGCAACTGCACTTTGTATTTCACAAGTGAAGGAGGAAATACTATTGTAAGAGATTTGAGTAAAGGGGGGGGGGGGGGGGGGGAAGGAAGGTAACCAATTCAGATAATTTTCACTTTACTTAGGCTACAGAATCACCATTCAAACTTCCTCACAGATCAGAGTAGCCACTCTTGACAGTCCTCCAGAAGATTTATGTCTGATGTTTTGAAAGCTCAGGCAGCGAGGAGAAATGACTATGTCTAACAAGTGTATCAAAGGTTCTGAAGTGTAGAGTGGGACTAGCTAATTTACTTCAGCAACAAGCAAATCTACCATGATGAATCCTACCTGGTGGCTGACAAAGTCAGCTACGGGAAGTAGTTCCATGTTAATATGTAATTATTGCTTGAAAGCTAACTTTAAAAAGGCAAAAAGAAGTACTATATCAGAAACTGATCATTTTGTTCATCAAGGAGCTAAACTTGGTTATATCTCACATTTAAATTAAGTATGCTATTTAATCAGGGCAACAGTCCTGAAAAGCTAACAAGCTCCCACCCACCCCATCCGCTGCCAAATATCCAAGCCACAACTAATCCTTAGTATTTTTACCCTGAAAATCCGCTTGAAGTAAAGAATTACTGTAAATCATTATTAAAGATGAAAAAACAAGACGAGATCCTTCGTAAGTATTTGGCACCTTCAGAGGATCAGGGCTGGACTTACCCAATTTCACCAAGGAAATCTGTGGCAGAGTAGGAGAAAAAAAAAATGCAGCTGCTTCAGGATACTGGCCAGCACTGCAATGGCTACAGCATCCTTCTACCTGGAAAGGAAACACCTTATTCCATTATACAAGGTAACTTATTCTGTTGCTTGGAATATGAAACCACAAAAGCTAAGCTGAAGAATAAGGTCTTAATGACTGTGATACACCAAAGTCAAATCATTGTAGAATTTGTTCAACGGGGTATAGTCAGACAACAGAAACGTCCATGATCTAGATTTTTTCAAACAACATTACAAATGTGAGATTTTTAGTTTTGTTTTCTTACGTAGTTTAACACTTTCAATACGGTTTTGGAACATGTCCCTACAACCTCTTCCCTGTTTCCACATCTTTCTGTAGCACGGACTTTTTTTTTTTTTTATATATACTGCAGATAGTGACAGTATTGCACAGCTGAACCGGGACATTCACCATAGCTCGGCCAACACTTCATATGCAGCGAGCAATACGAGGGCGGCGGGGAAGAAAAAACGTGCCCGTGCGCTGGGGAGCGCGGAGGCTCGGGAGCCCACAGCCTCGGGACCGCGAACGCGCTTTACCCGGGTGCTGCGGGCGCCGGGCTGCAGCGCTCGGTCTCGTATCTCTAGTTAAACGATCCGTCCGTGATAAACGTAACGGAACGCGAAGTAACGACGCCTCGCAGGCTCTCCCAGGAGGGCTCCTCACCGGCGCCGTTAAACACGCGCCACGCCTTCTCACGCGCCGGGCGGCGGTTTAACGTCGCCCCCCGCGGCGGCCGAGACAGGGCTGCGCCCCTGCCAGCGCGGCGGCCCCGGCGCCGCTCCCCGCAGCCGTCTCCTGAGCTCGGCGGGCGCCGCTTCCCCCTCCCCGGCCCGGAGCCCCGGCGCCCCCAGGAAGCCCTGCAGAGAGGCAGCGCCCGTTCCTACCCGCCGCCGAGCCGAGCTGAGGTGAGCGTCAGGGGCCGGCGCGACCCGCCGAGCCGCCAGCGCGGAGCCGAGCCCCGTCCCGCCCTCAGCCCCTGCGGAGTCGCTGGCGGTGGCGGGGGCCGCCCGCACCCGGCGGCCCGGCGCATTGTGGGCCCTGTCGCTTGCGCCGGTGGGCGGGCGGGCAGCCGCGCCGCGCGGCGAGCCGGGGGCTGTAGTTCTGGGGCGGGAGCCGGGCGGAAGCCACCGGTGTCCTTCCTCAGTCGCCGCGTTATGACAAGCGGGGCTGTCCCCCCTTCGGCCTCGGGCGGCGGCGGCGTGGAGGAGGAGGAGCGCCGGAGGAAGCGCGGGGCGGGTAAGAGGCGCTCGGCGCCATTCGGGGTGGCTCTGTCGCCTCAGGGGCAATTATAGCGAGCTGCCCCCCCGCGTTACCCCGTCAGGGCCGCGTTCTCCCTTTCCCCTCCACTGGGGCCGCCTCCCGCTCAGCCGCGGCACCCCTGGGGCCCCGGGGCTGAGGCAGCGCCCTGGGCCGGGCGGGCGGTGTCGTCCCGTGTGGCGTACCCACCGGGGCGGGGCGGGCGAGCAAAGAATCCCTCTCCCTTGCTTGTGTTGCAGCCGGCAGAACTGTTTTCGTGGTGTTAACGTAGACAGACGTTACGCTGAGCTTTATCCGTTCAATATTGGGCTTAGGTTGCAGGGAGACGGTAGGCTCGGGCTGGGAAGGGTGGCTGTGGCTGCTCTGACCTTCAGCGTGCTCGGGAGCTCCTTCCCGCGCTGTAAGTGCCCGTAGTTGTGTGGGGCCTCTCCTGGGAGGTTTATGTCACTGCTCTGAGAAGGCGAAGCTTGGTGACATTTTAGTTGTTGTCCTGTTTATGTGTGGATTTGAGGGCAAGGAGATTATGGCTACTGTCAGCTTTTTAATCACATTGTTACATTCTGATCAGCTGCAGTAAGAGTCTCTTTCAGTAAATGTCTGTAATTCTGTCAACCATCCTAGTGAAAAAGTGCTACGTGGATTTGCATCCTTGTTTTTTTTTTGTTTGTTTTTTCTTTTTTGGTTGTTTTAATGTATTTGGTTGGTTTTAATGCAGTCTTCAACTGTAGGCTGTTGCATACATGCTTATTTTTTGGTTATGTTTCAGAGTTACTGTTGACTGATTCTGAGAGACATGCAAATAATTACGAGTAAATAACTTTTCACACGACATTGTAAGGCAACAGTCAGTTTTAGGATTGCTTTCAGATACTTGTTATCTTTCAAGAGATGTATTTCTGAGTAAAAATGGGTAGACTTTTTAATTAGACTTGTAATACTGAGGCTAAAATGAAAAAAAAATAGTTAATTTCCAGTACCTGAAATTTGTCAACCCTCTAGTGATGATGTCACCTATTAGAACTGTGTCAATTTATCCAATTTCTGTTTTGAGCATCTGAAATTATGACTTAAAGAATAGAATGTCGGAAAATAACAGACCTTTCTGATGGTGGTTTGCATCTAACAAAGGGCTTGCTGGGATGAATATTGTGAAGTAGGAGGGTTGTCTTTCAGGAAGTGTAAATGTGATTCATTGAGTACTTTTCCAAGAAGACACAAAAATAGCATTTTCACATAGATGGTTACAAAAGAGATGACATCCTTTTATCTAGTTAGATTGCTAGTGATACTTTGGTGACTGAGTCATACAGATCAGTCTGGTTTATTCTAATAAATACAGAATTGTAACTGTTAAAATGCTGAGCACTGACTGGGGTATATATTAAGAAACCTAAACCACTTCCTTGGGTGAATTTAACTATGCACCAACTGTAAGCGTTAGTGATTTCAGTTAACTTAAACACTATCTGGGTTCACTTCAAGTACACTTTATAGAGAACACACTTCAGTCTTAAAAGAAGCCTCTAACAACTTTTATAATGAAGTATTATTACAGCACTTGCCTCAAGAGCATGTATCACATTTCTGTACTCTCTAACCAACAGATACTGGATTCATGACAGTAAGAGATTGGTACCCCTGTGATCATAACATTACTACGTATATCCATTATTTCTTGCAGTTAGACTTTTTTCTTCTGAAAGAAGAAAACCTGCAAGAAATAATGGATACGTGTAGTAATGTTATTATTGTGCATTTATGGAAAATAATTAGTAATTAATAAAACTTGATATGGGTAGTTCACATAGGTAGCATTCATAGATTCAGATTAAGTTAGACTTCTATTAAGCGTATGCTATTTTTACACTGTGTGTTGAGGGTGATGAAGACAACCTCCAAGCACGTAGGACTTAAAAAAATCTTACGATCAAACAGTGGTATTTAACACTATACAGGTATACATATACATAAAGCATATATAAATGTACTTAACGGGTAGTTTTGCCACTTACAAAGAATTACAAATGACTGATGAGGTGAAAAAGTAAGTTTGGCTTGGTGTAACTGGATAAAAAAAAATGAGGGAACAGTCATGGCCAGCTTCATGACCCCTTTGATATTCATCATCTTGTAAGGGGTTTTCTACAGCTTGTGCTCTGAGCACTTATCCCCACCCCAAATTAAAAACAATCCAGGAGGTAGGGGGAATGTTTAGTTTTGTTTTCTTAGAGTTCCTTTCTTATGCCATATTATTTATGGTTGAATATCTGTTGCAGGTTTGCTTATGATTATTACACTTGTTATTAGGATTGTGTTGCCATAGTCTTTCAAATGATTTTTTTTTTTTTCCCCTTACATGAGAAAAACACAAGCAGTAAGTAGGTTTCTGTAGGGATAGTAATGGCTGAAAATAACAGGTGTTAGGTGCACTGCAAGTGTGATAGACAAAGTTCATGTTAACATAGATTTGTTTTTCAGTATATAGTCCTTTGTCCTTCATCTCATACTATATAGTTGAAGGATTTGGCCTCTGCCTCTGAGCACTAGTCCCAGGAATGTTTTGGCAGCAATTCAGTGCGGTCATGTTTGCTATAAGAACAGAACTGTTTCATTAACCTTGAAATGCAAAATACGCTTATTGTTATTAGCTGGCTTGACATCATTCCAATTTTAGTAATTAAAAAAGGACTGTGTTAATGACCTGATACTTTTTTTTTTTTTTAATTGCATATTTACATAGCAGTAAAATTTGACATCCCAGAATAATTGACTCATTCAGTTTGATTCCTTTTGGAAAATGTATGTTGCCTTCTCTCTTAATCAAGTTAGAATCTTCTTTGTTGTTGACATTTTGTTTGTGGTAGTTGTGGTAGAATGTCTTGCATCCTGTAACTGTAGAGAAGAGCAGATCTAGTTTAGTTTTTCCAAGTGCTTGTGAGGAGTCAACTGCTCTCAACAAACAGAAAACAGCAAGGTTAACAGGATATTTATGTTTGAGTTTGGATGTTGTCAAAATACATGCCAATATTTTGGATATGTTTTTAACTTTTTATGCACAAATTAACACATACATTTGTCTACAGTTTTCAATTGTAAAAGTAACTCCTCGCACCTTCCTGATAATTAAAATTTTAATTACAGTTCTCTAGTGGTAGAATGTCTTCAGAATTACATTCTGAAATAAGATGTCACAACTATCTTTTTGCATCTATCTTGAATTGTTCAAAAGAGTAGTTACAAAAAGAAGACAGCATGTTTTAATATTTTATAGCTATTTCAACTTTTCTAAGGCTTTATTCAATATTGCTTTTGCAAATTAATTTTGGCTGAGATCTTCTGACTCATTAAAGGAAAAATTAATTAAGTGTCCTGCCATGTGGTTAGGAGAACTCATTTTTGTCTCTTTGTTACTAAGATCAAATCATGCACTGAAATGTCAGTGTTTTAATGGAATATGTGGTTCCTATTATTTTAGTTTTTCTTTTTTTAACCTGTTTACTATGGTATCTTACCATTCAGTAGACAAATTATGTATATTTCTTGTAATGCTTTTAACATGTTTTCCAGCCCTTCTTATTTTTTTGTTGGCTATGCTTTAATTTTTCAGTTTTCATTGGGTGTTTTGTCAGGTCTTGTTATAACACTGGTGAATAAGATGACTGTTGC